AGGTGGCTTGTACTCACTACCAAGCTGGTAGTGGTCACCTTGCTTAGCAGGGTTATCTTAAAACAATAGTTACTAGTCATTTTAAGCTAAAAAAAACCTCTTTAATTAAACTGTTTGTTTCAGCTTCAGGTAATGATTCCCGATCATCATCTGAGAACAATAAGGAAAGAACAAACACCAACTGGTTGGAAAATTCACCGATGTCGAGCGCTACCTCAAATAACACATCCATTGAGACAGATCTTACAACATCGTATGAAGAATCGCAAGATGAGAGCTTAACACAACCAGATTCAAATTGGGCCAGGTTCTTTGCAATACCTTGGCACTTGTTTCCCAAATCATTTATGGATGACTTAAACAACAAACGGCGTCCCACTGACAGTCTAAGGCGTCAGGTTATTAGAATATTGTGTACTTCGATCCAAGAGACATGTATGAAACCTACTGCCAGAGATATTCAACTCATTGCTGGAAGTTGAGTGGATCAATTCAAAACCAGTCTAGCGGACATAATTAATAAAAAAACAGATGGGTTCAGGATATGCCAGTGTAGCATCGCAAATAACAGAGAGACTTCATAACCTCAACAGGAAACCAAAAAAAAGTTTGTCAGCCACTAGCACTAGCAAGGACGTAAATGGAAAATCAACAAAATATGGCTGCAGTTCTAATTGGAGTGTCCAAATATCGGAAGAAGAAGAAGAAATAATGATTGAAAAAAATAATTGGTTAAAAGATGAATTTTATTTCGAGCCACGCCCCTTTTTTAGTGTTACTGATTAAATGAGCTTGTAAACACGCTACAGAAAAAAGTTTACAATGAATATTTTTAAAACTTTGTTGGATTGTTGCCATGGATGGGATGTCGGTTCCTTTCGAATGTAGTGATAATTGGATCTTTATGTTGATATATTAAACTGTGTACCTATATCTGTCAAAATCAGTTGGGATTACCTTTATTGCATTTTGTTTAAGGTTACTCAGTATCTGTGCTAAATTGACTGGACTTTAAATTTAAAGATCACCATTCTGCATGCCTTTTGTTTACATTTGTTTTCGCTGATTTTATTCAGGGCTTTGCCGTTTCACCCACCACAGAAGTCAGCCCCCGTTCTTCACCAATTTATCATCTGAGCGCGGTCTAAAAATAGTCACATTGTAACCCATATCCGAAATCAATAAATTTCTGTAAAATAATGGGTCAATATTACCCAAAAATGAGTTTAATGTACGGTTATTTGAATAACAACGCGTTTATTTGTGGAAAATTTGTAATTTAATTACTCTTTCATCTGAAAATAAGGGCTAAAAAGTGTTCATTAGGAATGATCGATTTGGGGGGGGGGGTTATATAGTTTAATGTCTAATGTTTGTTTGTAGTTGGGATTTCGATTTAAAAAAAAAAGACGCATTTTCGAGATTTGGGAAAACGAACCCACGGTAAGAAATTGTTTTGATATGGTCCAAGGGCGGTAACTCTATTAAATAATGTCAAAATGCTTAGTTACTTTGAAGAGTTGTCTACCATGTAAAATCGTTTCTAAACCCAGTCGGAGCAGAACAGCAGTAAGTTAAACCCCATTTCAATCAATCCACTTATTTATTTCTTAAATATACATTATGCGCGAGCTAAATCTTCCTATTTCAGGTCTTGACTAGACCACGTATGCACGGTGTAAAAATAGATAGGCCTGGTGGTCCTGTACTGTAAGGTGAACTTTATTTTTCATCGACGCAGTTTATTCTTTTCTTTCAACCGGCTAGGTAGTTTTGCTGCTATGGAAGAATTATTGCATTTATATAGTTTGTTTCTTCTTAACGCGTGCGCGATTTCGGATCGCAGCTTGTGTACGTGACAAATCAATTCAAAGAGTCTACAGCAGTACAGGCCCGCCTGTCGTGGGTTTTCTCCGGAGTCTTCACTGAGCACTAAACTAAAGACCTCTTCGCGCAAGCGGATTATTGAAATAAAATTGAACAATGTGTTAGCCCCGAAATGATCTAGATTGTGTCGAGTGGGCATTAAACCTTTATTTTCTGCTTTTGTATGCTGTCCGACTGGGCCATGTAACCTAGTAATAATACCTAGTCTGGTTTGTTTATGACTTATCACGTGATCAGTTTGACGTCAGCGATGTTTTGTGACGTGGTGAACGTGAAGCAGACGCCCAGCTCGTTCAGTTAGCGTGAGGAGAACGAGCTGATCTTAGAGTACCTAGCACGACACATACGTTGATATTATTATAATTACTATACTACTACTACTACTAGGAGGCTTAGAGTCAGTAATCAAGGTAAAGTATAAAGTTGACTGTCTAGGAATTAAATCTTACACAACCTTGGAGGTGTGAGATTGTTCCCTCCTTCACGTCTGGCAATGTTTTGACAGATATGATCAAAATACTCAAATGTGGATAGTTTTAATACTATTATTATAGGCCTAAGTCTAGCGCTAGTTAGACCTATTTTATTTTAAAGTTTGAAAAAAGTAGTCTAGGCCAAGGCACAATATAATAAATAAGACTGACTAAGGTAATTGGCCAGGAACTAATAAGACGGATGTCCCACTCCTCCTTTAGACCGTATGCCGTCTGTCAGTCACAGGGTTGAATCTAGCCATATTTTGACAGATCACCACAAAAACTTGAAACACTGTAAAACACCACCACTTGCACAAGGCCTATATAACACAAATCAAGAAGACAAACAAGTGGACAGGAGACACATCACACACAGACATTGCAATAACTTGAATAAGTACACTAGCAAATCAAGTGTAGACTAGGCCCTACACCAACTTGGCAAAAAAACTAAGATGGCTAGCCTACTGCCTAGGCCTAGGCCTGCTGCCTTTCAGTACTTTCACTTTTCAGACTCTCAGTCTCGATGATGTGGTTAGTAAGGTCCGACACTGATAGTGATTGGCAGTTCTAGCATATTAATTATTATGTTCACTGTAATCGTAGCTTTCTTCCATTGCCAATGTCTGAATGTGGGGTTTAACTTTTATCTTGTTGTATAACTTTATTTTTATTGGTACCAATACCTATCCGTTAAATGCAATGCAATGAAATGAAATGGGGTTTAACGTCTTACTTTTTGCTCCAACCGTGCTAATGAAGACAGCAATGTGTGCTATGCGGTAAGATCTGCCCGGGTAGCAGCGTCCCAGTCTTGTCTTCATACTACTAATACTATAGTTCATGGGTTCATTTACTGTGTGTGAAATAGCTTTATTTAACGTCCGCTTCCACCGAAGTAATATAGCAGACAAGTTCATTTACTTGCGGTGAATGGCTATATATGGGCATACACGGGACTTCCGCCCTGCACCAGGGCAAAAGACTTCTTCAAATTAAAAACTTCAATAAAATTCCTTTTCTCTTATTATCTTAAGAAGCCCTCCAAACGTTTTATCTAATAGTAATTACACGTTTTCGACCATTTTTAAAGTTAAGGACTGCACCCCATAAAGATAATGATTTAGAATTTTAGAAAGTTAATCTTTTGAAGTTGTTGACGTTGTATCATAATCACAGAATATATCTCTCAACAGGCGGATAATATACACATGTGTATAATGTAAATGAAATGAAAGTTTAACGTCCTACTGTTCTGTCGCGACTGGGCTAATGAAGATCGTCATACGCCATACAGTGTGCTATGAGGGAAAATTTCTGCTCGGACAGCGGCGCTACGGCCTATATACGTATAACGACTTCCAACTGAGGGGTTCTCTTACCTGCCCGCTAAAATTGATGTGTTCACGGGATCTCGGTTTCCATCCACGGCAAACGACTATACATACGTTGTTCCTTGCCAGACCCTCCCGTCCTGCACCATTGACAAGGGGAGGCCACACCCATATAATTTAAAAGGTTGGCAACCCCAGCTCTAGGCCTTTCCGGGGGGTTGGATGGGCGAATGGTTAGCACTTGTGCGCTGTATCATGTCTGTCATTGAGTCAACTGGCAGGGTTTTGATTCCCCGGTTGTACGTAACAAGGAGTAGGGTCGCCTGTCCAACCTCGTGGGTTTTCTCCGGGTCCTCCGGTTTCCCCCCACTGCTAAAGACCGGCAATAAAATTGAACCAATAGGTAGTCCTGAAATGACCTAGTTTGTGTCGACTCGATGTTAAAGGGCATCTCTCTCTCTCTCTCTCTCTCTCTCTCTCTCTCTCTGTCTGCCTTTTCGGCATTATTTTATTATACCGTTTCGTGTTTGTTCGTTATATTTTACTGTTCATTCATTTTCTTAGATGAACCAAGTTGAATATGATGATGAGGACGAAGAAATAACGCCAACAAGTTGCGATGGAATAACCCAAACAGATTACGATGACGACGACCCGGGCTCAGAGGAAGACAAAATCCACTTCAATCGTAAACATAACTATTTAAACGTAAACAATTCTAGAAAAAGAGTCTTGGAAGAAATAACCCATTATGAAAACTTGCCACCTTACAAATCACCAAAAATAGACAGACTGCACTTTCAAACGTCCTTCCAATCGAATGAAGACAAAGAAAACGATGCTGGTCATTGTTCAACTTTAGAAAGTTGGGAGGGTCAGGATGAGAATCAGGAAGAAGATTCAAAAGATTCAAGATTAAGCGATGACTTAATTACAGATGAAACTCATGATGATGATGAACTCAACAACGATAACAAGCAAGTATTCCTTTAACTTAGGTTACGAATTTAAGGACTTTTAATGAGCTTTCGCTGTTTTTTTTCCGGCTTTGTCAAAATCCGGTACCAAAACTCTGTTAGGTGCCTAGGGCCTCTATTGGTCTTTGGATTCAAATCCGGCCTTGGGCATACCATGGACCTTATAATACATATTATAAGGCCCATGGGCATACGCCATATAGTGTACTATGGGGTGAACTTAATTAAAGCCTCTGTGGTGCTTTCAAGATTTCGTTGTTCGTAACAAAGCGGTATATAAAAATTTGGATGTAATGTTTTTCTTTTTTTGTTTTTATAGTACACCCGAAGTTTCTCCCAAGAGAAGTAAGAAACATGTAAGAATTGTGACGTCACCATCCGATTGTTTAAAGACGACACCAACAACAACTTATACAGTTTTACCGACCATTACTCCTTACTCTCCTGATGAGAAAAATAACTGGTAATTTTCTTTATAATAGAGGGGGTGGGGTCGAATGGTTAAACACGTGCGCGTTGGATCGTAAGGTCTGTCATCGACGCACGATTTCGCTTGCCCGTGACACAGTATAGGGTCGCCTGTCAAACCACGTGGGTTTTTCTCCGGGTCCTCTGATCTCCTCACGCAACTTACACCCTACGCACAAGCGAATCATTGAAATACAATTGAACCATATGTTAATCCCGAAATGACCTAGTTTGTGTCCAGTGGACATTATCCTCCCTCTCTCTCTCTCTCTCTCTCTCTCCCTCTCTCTCTCTCTCTCTCTTCTATATTAATTTGGTGACGAATCCGATAATAAATCTATTTTTAGGTATCACGTCTACACCTCCGTCCAGAATAAAATATTAAACGGTCTGAGCTTATCAACACCATGCACTGAATCCCAGACAACACCTACAACATCTGGGGGTCTACATCTATCGGAACAAGAAACATCTAGTGGTCAATCTATCTGTTTATCTGGTCAAGGAACATCTAGTGGTCAATCTATCTGTTTATCTGGTCAAGGAACATCTAGTGGTCAGTCCATCTGTTTATCTGGTCAAGGAAGCTATGTGTATACTCCTCATCCTAAAACTGGTCAGTTATTTTATTTATCTGCTGGGGTTGATGGTTCACCACAACTTTCACTCTGTCCTCCACCGTTTCAAACACCCGACACCGTCACTAAATCTACTGCTGTAGAACGACCAACACCTTCATCACCGTTTGCACAGGTATGTAATCACTTTCAGATTTTATCCGATGGCCATTTATACAGGGGGGCGAATAGTTTAACGCGTGCTCTTTAGATTAGATAGATCATAAACTCTGTCATTGGGTCAGAGAGAGAGAGAAATGGGGTTTTACGTCCACTCGACACAAACTAGGTCATATGGTTTAATTTTATTTCCATAATTCGCTTGCGCGTAGGTGTCTTTAGCAGTGGGAGGAAACCGGATGACCCGGAGAAAACCCACGAGGTTGGACAGGCGACCCTACGCACGTACAACCGGGGATTCGAAACCACGCCAGTTGACTCAATGACAGGCTTTATGATACAGCGCGCACGTGCTAACCATTCAGCCATCCAACCCCCCGTCATTGGGTCAAGTGGCAAGCGAATTATTGAAAGGAAATGAAATGAAATGAGGTTTAACGCCCTACTGTTCTGCTCCGAACTGGGCTAATGAAGACGGGCATACGCCATACAGTGCGAGGAAAGCGGGGGACCCAGCGAAAAGTCACGAGGTTGGACAGCCGACCCTACCCCTTGTCAAGTACAGCGGGGGAATCGAAACCACGCCAGTTGACTCAATGACAGGCCTTATGATACAACGCACATGCGCGAACCATTCGGCCACCCAATGACCCAACACCCCATGAAGCTTAGAGACATTTCGTGCGACTTTAGCCACATCGCTTAAAATGTTGTGTGATAATTTGTGAATTAATTTTGTATTATGTTATGAATATACCAAAATTATTGTGATTTGCCATGGAACGATGCTGGTTGCGACGCCCCCATATATGAAGGTCCCGCCACTGCACTGGTCACTGCGTTACGATAGGATTGTTCCTATTGAGTCCATGATCTGGTACGTGCAGATACGTTTCGATACAATCAACACGATTGCTACGATTGACCTCAATCTATATAACTGACCACGATTACTCCTCGATTAAAACAACGATTTCAATCGTAGGAAGCTAGCATTAGGGTTAAACATTTATATCGCCGAAACGTCGTACATCCCTAATTATATGCTAAATATAAATAAATTATTAAACTGTTTGGTTAGGGCTAAAATCTGAATTACCGAAACGTTGTGCATTCTGCTAACATAAATTATTAAATTGTTTCTATAGTTACAGTCTAGCACGTTATGTTTAAACAGTAGCGGCGAGGAGGCCGTCCAGATACCTAATGATCATATCAATTAGTTATATTAACTTGTTTCTATAGTTACAGCCTACCACGTTATGTTTAAACAGTAGCGGCGAGGAGCCCGTCCAGATACCTAATGATCACGTCAACGATACACTCACGTTAAATGCTGATAATTTTGTTTGTAAGAAACCTAATTATGAATTACTCCAGTCTCCAGAAGTTCATGAAGAGGAACCGAGAGAGACACATAATTTAAAGGAAAGACGAAGAAGGTAATATTTCGAAATGAAACGAAGTTAAACGTCCTACTGTTCTGCACCGACTAAAATTTTGCCTCAGAATGGCGGTACTGCGGCCTACTTTTATATCGAATTCCAAATGTCAAGGGATATTGTGTACATGGGACCTCAGTTTTTCGTCCCACTCGAACGATTACACATTGTCCCTTGCTAGGCCCTCCGTCTTGCACCACTGACACTGTGGGGACCAAGTAATATTTCTAACACGTTCAAATCTCTTTAGATTGGCTGTCTATTAAAAAATTTACTGGGCGACATTTGGTAAAGGCAAGATAATTTTAGAAAGTAGTATTCTAATATATAGACATTTTTCGATTGGTTTCAATAGCAACTGTACTGTATTGCAGTGGTAATACCGAATCAATTGTGGTATCGTCGCTTCACTTATCCGTGCCATGGGTGATTGCACAAACTCATATCAAGCAGGGGTATTGTCGGTTTTCTTTGTCAAGTTATGGTATCGCACGAGAGAGAGGGTAGTAGTATCACCAGTACCATTGTTAAGTAGTGATATCCGATATTATCGCTGCAGAGCCAGCCCTTTCCATGGGTAATATCACCAGTACCATTGTTAAATGGGGTTTAACGTCCTACTGTTCTGCTCCGAACTGCGCCAATGAATACGGACATACGCCATACAGTGTGCTATGAGGGAAATTTTGCACGGACAGCGGCACTACGACTTACTCTTATATCGAATTTCAACTGTCAAGGGATCTTTTATGTGCACGCCAATGTGTACACGGCACCTCGGTTTTTCATCCCATCCGAACGACTAGACAGCTGTCCATGTCAGACCCTATGTCCTGCATCACTGATAAGGGGGAACCACGCCGGAAAATCTGGATGAACTTTTTCGGCCAATGTAGGGATCGAACACCCGTTCTCTAGGCTGCCGAGCCAGCGTCTTACCCACCGTGACCCGCAACACCAGTCCTTTTCATGGATATCATCATCAGTACACTTACCATTATTAATTTGTGATGACAAACAAGGGTAATATCGATACCAGTTCTGATATCTCCGCAGCACAATCAGATAAGTACAAGCACCCATGACAAGTACATGGATGTATTTTTTATATTTTTATAGAGCCCGTATAAAGGAAGCGTGTGACTTAATGAGGAATTTGATACCTGGAATGTCTGAGAAAACCGATAAAGCTACTGTGTTTGAGTTCGCTGCTAGATATATCCACTTTCTAAAAACATACACAGGAAGTCAGTATGATAAGGTATGTACTCTCTCCCTCCATTATATTTGATGGGGTGGTGGGTAGCCGAACAAGATGTCAGTATAAGGTATGTACTCTCTCTCTCTCTTTCCATAAAATTTGATGGGGGGGGGGGTAACCGAACAAGATGTCAGTAAGGTATGTATTCTCTACCCCTCTCTCTCCATTATATTTGGTAGGGGGTGGGGGTGGGGTAGCCGAACAAGATGTCAGTATGATAAAATGAAATGAAATGAAATGGAGTTTAACGTCCTACTGTTCTGCTCCTAACCTGGGCTAATGAAGACGGGCATACGCCATACAGTGTGCTATGAGGGAAATTTTGCCCGGACAGCGGCACTACGGCCTACTCTTATATCGAATTCCAACTGCCAAGGGATCTTTTACGTGCACGCCAATGTGTACACGGGACCTCGGTTTTTCGTCCCATCCGAACGACTAGACAGCTTTCCTTGTCAGCCCCTCCGTCCTGCATCACTGACAAGGGAGAACCACGCCGGAAAATCTGGATGAACTTTCTCGGCCAATGCAGGGATCGAACATCCGACCTCCAGGCTAGCGAGCTAGCGTCTTACCCACTTAGCCACGTGATCCCCCAGTATGATAAGGTATTTAGTCTATTATATTGTCCCATGCGGTGTCGGGGTGGCTGAATGCTTAACGCGTGCACTTTACATCATAAGGTCTGTCATTGAGTCCGAGAAAGTTCATTCGGATGATAAGAAAAACCGAGGTCCTGTGTATACATTGGAATGCACGTAAAAGATCCCTTGGCAGTTGGAATTCGATATAAGAGTAGGCGATAGTGCTGCTGCCTGGGCAAAATTTCCCTCATAGCACACTGTATGGCGTATCCCGTCTTCATTAGCCCAGTATAGAAGCAGAACAGTAGGACGTTAAACCCCATTTCATTTCATTTCTGTCATTGGGTCACGTGGCGTGGTTTCAATTCCCAGCATGTACGTGACAAGTAGCTTGACCGAAGACGAGTGCTTTATCTAAACCGTTTCAGACAAGGAAAATAACGAATTTTGTAAGTTGTTCCGGGCATAGAAACCCCTGGAAAGATCAAAGAGATTAACCGTTACGGGTTTATAAGTGTGGATATTAAAAAGTAATATTAAACACCAATAACCACAGGCTTTCAACTACACGTGCACAAGGTAAGCAGCGGGATTTACTTCCAATAACAACCTGGGGGTTGGATGGCCGAATCGTTAACGCGTGCGCGCTGTATCATAAGGTCTATTTTTGAGTCAACTGGTGTGGTTTCGATTCCCCGGTTGTACGTGACAAGTAGTAGGGGCGCCTGTTCAACCTCGTGGGTGTTCTCAGGGTCCTCAGGTTTCCTCCCACTGCTAAAGACTCCTACGCACAAACAAATTATTGAAATAAAATTGAACCCTGTTAATCCCGAAATGACCTAGTTTGTGTCGAGTGGGCGTTACTCCCCCCCCCCCCCTCTAATAACAACCTGTAAAGCAACTGACTACCAATAGGTAATAATATGTTAGTCCCGAATTGACCTTGTCCCCTCTAATAACAACCTGTAAAGCAACTGACCACCAATAGGTAATCATTTTAACTTTTTATATTTCTAGGATTTTCTTATTAAATACAGCCCTTACTGATACACGGACCATATGAAATTATCAAGAGTCGGAAGTCAAGTTTCAAGTCGATGTCCATCACATCCTTGAGTCTATAAGTGGAACAAATTGGCTAGACCAAACGCCCTTGGTTGTTTGTAGCATTATTTTCAATTATCCCAAATACCAAAAACACTCAAACTAAAAGATTATGAAAATTACCGATTTTAATAATGCAGTCTGTATGTATATAAACCTTTGCAGGCTATCCGAGTTGATTCTCAATTTAACATTTGCCAAGTATAATTATATTCTTAATTGATGTTAAGATTTTAAGACTAAGAGAACTATTTCATTGGCTGAGCCTTTTTAAATTTGTATTTAATTTTTTTTTTCAATTTTGTATATCTGCAAGCATGATGATAATATTATGTCATTTAAACAATAGACAATGCAAAATGAGTATTGAAAATTTCATTCAAATTACTTTATTCTGAACGAAGTGGGGATCACTGGCTAAGTGGGTAAGACGCTGGCTCGCTAGACTGGAGGTCGGGTGTTCGATCCCTGCATTGGCCGAGAATCTTCATCCAGATTTTACAGCGCGATTCCCCCTTGTCAGTAATCCAGGATGGAGGGCCTGACAAGGACAGCTGTCTAGTCCTTCGGATGAGACGGAAAACCGAGGTCCCGTGTATACATTGGAATGCACGTAAAAGATCCCTTGGCAGTTGCAATTCGATATAAGAGTAGGCGATAGTGCTGCTGCCCGGGCAAAATTTCCCTCATAGCACATGCCCGTCTTCATTAGCCCAGTTTAGGAGCATTTCACTTTATTCTAAACGAAGTTATGAGTGTTTGAAGATGAATCATTGATGGTCTAGTGTAGCAGCGGTACTTTACAACAGAGATTCGGTCAATATTCATTTGATAAATTTGGGTAAATATGTTACAGCCTTCCTTATTATATTTGGTCCTGTTCTAGAATCCCCCATCATCATTTTCTAGAATCCCCCATCATCATTTTCTAGAATCCCCCACCTCAATTTTAGGTGATGTTTATTTAAGTCTCGAGCATACAACAGATGATCGTATGCATCGATCAATTTCTTTTATGAGGACGAAAAGCAGGCACATATTATAGCCGACAAAATGTAGACACTATGCCCGGTTGAATAATTTGTGTACAGTGCTGTGATTTTTCCACAGCAATGAGGTCCTTTTTGGGAGGAGCAAGTTTTGATCTACTACCTCAATTCAAAGTTGATTTTGCTGTAGAGCAGTAGGTTACAAGATACCTTAGTCTAAGCGTTGTTTTTTTTTGGGGGGGGGATGTTGCGGGCCTTACTAACAGGGAGGTACTGGGTTGGATCCCATGGTTGACTGAGACTGTTCCTGACTATAGTTTCCCTTGGTCAGGTGCAGGAATGAGAGCCTGTCAAAGAGTCTAATCGTTCCTATGGTACAAAAAAAACGAGGACCCATGCACAGTTGGAAGATGATGAGAAGGTGGAACCGTCCCCGCTGTCAGAGCTAAATTCCCTCGAAGCACAATGCATATGCAGGTCTTCAAAAGTCGGATTGGTGCAGAAATGTAGGTAGTTAAAAGAGAGAGAGAGAGAGAAATGGGGTTTAACATCCACTTGATACAAACTAGGTCATGTCGGGACTAACACATTGTTCAATTTAATTTCAATAATTCACCTGCACGTAGGGTCTTTAGCAGTGGGAGGAAACCGGAGGACTCAGAGAAAACCCACGAGGTTGGGCAGGCAACCCTACTCCTTGTCATGTACAACCTGGAAATCGAAACCACGCCAGTTGACTCAATGAAAGACCTTTTGGTACAATGATTCAACACCCATGTGCTAACCATTTGACCATCCAACCCCCCTCTAACTTTTGAACAAAAGAACAGATTATAATGAATAACAGTATGGATATTTAAATGTGTAAGTCAAAATTGGGAGGGAGGGGGCATCAGGACCCTGCCCAAAAACGGTGCCTGGATTTGGAAGTGTCATACATACGAAAAAGTTATTGATGTTAAACAATCTTACAAAAACAAAACCAAAAATGTTTCTCACATGATTTTGATTTCATGAAAACAATGATATACAAAAATATACATAATTAGGGTTCCAACTGAACAATCAATTCTGTTAAACACACAATTTGATGCTGTTCTTCTTGCACTTTTACAGATATCACACGCATTACACTAGGCATTAAATGAGTTATCTCCCTTTGGTGTCTCCAATATCATGGAGGTAAATTTTAAGTCTGACAGCAAGCCTGGAAATAAGGCACCTGTCACTGACATGTGTGGCACAGATGCAGACTTTGTCAGGCACTAAACCTCTGGTGCCTGTCATTTTGTCCAGCACTGATATTATTAATACATGTCTGGCACTAAGTTGAAAATGTCCGGTACTATTTCATTAGTGCCTGACATTTTGTCAGGTACATGTAAAACCGTTATTTCCAGGCCTGACTCTTGGACAGTTGGACAAAAACATTTGAATCAATTGCAGTACTTGAGATAAGGAAATATGCTAGGATTTGAAAAATCTACCGAAAATCAACCACAGTAGTAACCTCAAGCTGGAGATTATCAATCATTATAGCTAGTTTTGAAACCATAGCAACCTATGTTAAAGTGTACAACTTGAAAACTTATTAAAGGGCAGATAACTTGGCCTGATTAGTGATTTTTAGAGATGATGTCCAAGACTACAGGACTGAATAATCGGGACTAGTAACTCATTACTGGCCTAATAGTTCACACCATACACAGTGTCGAGTCAGTTAAATGGATATACACAATTTATCTCAAATGTCTCTCATCATGTGACTTGTATTTCTTGTGACAGCCAATCAACTTTGTCCATATAGGTTGACATTTTTTCTCTTAAATCTTCATAAAGCTGAAATGTTTAAAGAATTATTATCAATCTAATGAATGCGATAGAAATGAGAGAGAGAGAGAGAAATAGGGTTTAACGTCCACTCGACACAAACTAGGTCATTTCGGGACTAACACATGGTTCAATTTTATTTCAATAATTCGCTTGCGCATAGGGGTCTTTAGCAGTGGGAGGACCCGGAGAAAACCCACGAGGTTGGACAGGCGACCCTACTCCTTGTCATGTACAACCGGGGATTCGAAACCCCGCCAGTTGACTCAATGACAGACCGTATGATACAGCTCAGCGTGCACGTGCTAACCATTCGGCCATCCAACCCCCCTTCGATAGAAATGAAATGGGGTTTTATGTCCTACTGGGCTAATGAAGATGGGCATATACGAATCAAAACCACACCAGTTGACTCAATGACAGGCCTTATCACACAACGTGCACACGCTTACCATTCAGCCATCCAACTCCCCTAACTCTTCAAAAGAGTATCAGGTGTTATAACGAGAACACATACCCTGTCTCATATACAACATGAAATAAGATATATCTGCCTACCTTTCTATATGTCCAATCTTGTTGAGTTTGTAAAGCATGTAAGAGTTGATCTATAGATGTATAAGGTAACCATGTCATTCCTGTTTTATGATGAACACAACCCTGAAATATTTAAAACAAATATATATTTTCTAACCATAAGGACCAAATAAAAGGAGGTTCGGTTCAACATCCAACTTTTCTGCACCGACTGAAGACCGGCTTACAACAGTGTACTATGAGGGAAATTTTGCCCAAACAGTGGCGCTACGGCCTACTCTTATTTTGAATTCCAAATGTCATTGGATCTTTTACGGGAATGCCAAAGTTTACATGGGACCTCGGGTTTATGTCTCATCCAAACGACTAGACAATTATCCTAGTCAGGCCCTCCTGCACCACTGACAAGGAGAAACCACACTGGAAAATCACAAGAAATTTTCACAGCCCACACTGGGAGCAAACCCGAGTCACCACAGCTCCCTAATCATTAGGACAATAAGCTGTATTGATGGCTATGATATAGCACTAGGATTCAGGGCACATTTACTGTGTGTCAAGTGCAGCAAGTCAGAGAAATAATTTGGACCCAATGACCATATGCCATGCAGAGGAAAATTTTGCCTTGACATCGACGTCATAGCCTCTGATTTCAATATTCAACTGTTCTGGGTTTGTTAACTTACTGCCATCTGTCGACACAGGAACTCTGTTTTTGATCCAAACTATATAAAGAACCCCTTTTCATCCCTTATTTATAAGTTATTTTTGTCCGAAGATGACTAAGGGCATGCTGTCTGCTTAAAGGGAGAATATCTGTCAGCAACATAAATCTGACAGCATCTAGTATATATATCTCACCTTCAGATTATAGCGTAGACTATCTGTACCACTCATTGATTCCATCATGGCTTCCACATATTCCAGTACAAGACACCCGGCATCTTCCAATAAATCATAATTAATATACAGACGCAGCAACTCAGACGTATTTAATATCTGAAATAAAAAAAAAACAAGTCAGATTTGTTTCCATGGAAACAGAAAATCATTAAATCCAACAAATTTTGTTGTGTTAAAAGTTTCGTAAGGATATCTTTAAAGATGCTAATTCTGGCTATTGCAGGCTTTTTTCTAGATTCAAATGTTAAATAAATCATAGTTTAGAAATTTATTCACATGACAAGCCAATAATCAACTCTAATCAACTTTAGCTAAATTTGTACTTTAATGAAATATATATACACTGTATATTAAAAACCTCACCCTATATGAGTTGAGGAACCATGTTGGTAAAGGGAAGCCATGAGCTAGTAGCCGTTCTGCCACACAACGATGATACTTCCCGTTACCGGTCTCGTAACATTCTAAATAATACTGTAACAGCCACCAAGCCTGATCTGTAGCACTGTAAAAACAGAAATTACAATTTGAGAGAAAGAGAAACAGGGTTAAAATTCCACTCAAAACAAAATAGGTCATTTCAGAACTACCATATGGTCCAATTTTATTTCAATACTTCGCATGTGCGTAGGATCCTGATCAGTGGGAGGAAACCCACGAGGTTGTACAATCGACCCTACTGCTTGTCATGTGCAAGCAGGAAATTGAAACCACACCACTTGACTCGATGACAAACTTTATGATCAAACTTCTAACTATAAAAGTAACAGGATTCTATTTAAACATACTTGTGACACATTTAGAGTCAAGGTCAGTTTGTTAACATATCTTATTTGGCTAATTCTTACGTCATTTGACTAATCAATACGAGATATCAGAGAATATATTGCTTTTGGCAATGCGGTTACCTTTAATCACGGCTGCTCAGACTAATCACACTCGCCATGTTCCACCATTTTTGGTTAGTCACATGACAGAACGATACGCTGCGTACGATAACAGTTTTGAGTTATCTTGTCTATAAACGCAAGGAAATCTAAAGTGACCATCTTTTGGTTTGTCGATAAATGTGAGTTTTTGGCTAGTACGCCATTGTATTTACCTTGCTTCCCTACATGGAGCACCTGTTGCAGAGTAATTTTCTTTTAACCAATCCCAGGCTTCTGATGACGGATCCTTTTCTAGACTAAAATTATCGCATGTTTGGGCCAAATTAACACACCTAGAACATAAAGAAATAATTAATAATTGGATGGTGTTATGCAAATGAAGAGCCGGAAGATTGATTGAAGTCACTTTTTCAACAAACCACAGTTAATGGTGGCATCTGGTAGCAAATTGTATAAGCTTTTTGTGGAACAATCAATTTCAGGTAAAAACGATCAGAGTCACATGGAACTAAGGCCCCTCTGAAATGGCCTCCTGGACAAATACAAATCCATCGTATTTATTTGACCTTAATTTGGCTAAAAAGTGGAAGTCAATTGTTGTACTGGTAATTATAATTTGTATTAAACATCATTTTGAAGTTGTAATTAACGAGTCAAGCCTTTTATGCGAAAAGACACAAATTTGATTTAGATCGTTCTTCCCCTGGACTCTTCAAATGTGATTTAACCCCAACTTTGAAGTTTTGAGAAAATACAGAAAATAGAAAATAGTAGCCATTCAAATAAAGAAAAAACTTCAAAGTTCCAGAAAACTTTTATTACTTTAACATCATGAAATACAATATAGGACTAAAATGTACTAAAATAATAGTTGAAATATGAAATAGTAACCATGGTAACGCGTAACTTCTAACCTAAATAAATTTAATTTGCGTAATTTCGCCTCAAAATGATACAACTGATGAAACTATTTATTCATTACTAAACTCCAATTCAAAGTCAATGATTCCATTAGTACAGAAATTCAATAAAATAAGGATTATCTCATCAATTGTACTGAAATAAGTTTTAATGTCCTACTGTTTTACTTCGACTGGGCTAATGAAGACGGGAATACGCCATACAGTGCGCTATGAGGGAAATTTTGCACAAACAGCAGAGCTACAGCCTTCTTATATCGAATTTCAAGGACCAAGGGTTCTTTTACGTACACGCTAATGTGTGCACAAGATCTTAGTTTTTTCATCCTATCTGAATGGGGGATCACGTGGCTAAGTGTGTAAGACGCTGGCTCGCTAGCCTGGAGGTTGGGTGTTCGATCCCTGCATTGGCCGAGAAATTTCATCCCGATTTTCCAGCGTGGTTTCCCCTTGTCAGTGATGCAGGACGGAGGGCCTGACAAGGACAGCTGTCTAGTCGTTCGGTGGGACGAAAAACAGAGGTCCCGTGTACATATTGGCATGCATGTAAAAGATCCCTTGGCAGTTGGAATTCGATATAAGAGTAGGCCGTAGCGCCGCTACCCGGGCAAAATTTCCCTCATAGCACACTGTATGGCGTATACCCGTCTTCATTAGCCCAGGTTAGGAGCAGAACAGTAGGACGTTAAACCCCATTTCATTTCATTTCATTTCCTATCTGAATGACTAGACAGAAGTCAATACACCACTAACATGTGGAAGCAAAAGTTAATGAAAGAAAATGGGTTTCCGAAAACATCTTACCTTAAAGCCAGGTTCTCAAAAACTGAATTAAGTGGAATATCAAATCTACGACACACTATAATGGCACGATCAAAGAACCCAGCATTTACAAGATGGCCGACCATTTCTTCCGCTCGAGGTGTAGGACCTGAAATTAATTATGAAGATATACAAGATGTGATTTTTTTATTACACATATCCTAGAGAGAGAAGGACCCGAAGAAAACCAACCAGATTGGACAAGCGACCACACTCCTTGTCACAGACAAGAATAGATCGAAACTATGCCACTTGACTCATTGACAGACCTTATCATCTAAAGCCCACACGTTAAACCATTCGACCGCCCAGAAAGCAGCGCTAAGGCCTACTCTTACATCGAATTCCAACTTCCCAGGGATCTTTTAGGTGGCCGCCAATGTGTATACGGAACCTTGATTTTTCGTGCCAACAGAACAAAGACTAGGCTGAAACTAATGTTCCTCAGAATGTATCAAACCACCCTCCTGCCCTCTTTGAATAACTCTGCATGAGGGACTGTATATTCTGATTCTTGGGGGGGACCAAAGCCATTCATGTGACTCTAGTGATATGGAGCACTAGCTACGGGTGTGTCTAAGTGATATAGGTTAACATGATACTTGTACATTTTCATATATGGTAACATTTGTAGATGTTCATAATCATATTTGATAAGTGTATCATTTACATGATAACGACTATAGATTCTTAGTCCAAACATTACTCGTTAATAAACACTACTTGTCCGCCTGTTTATTTTCAGTTCAGTTTAATTATTAAATACCACTGAAGCAATGTATTTTCAGTTCAGTTTAATTATTAAATGCCACTGAAGCAATGCTAGTGTCTATTTGGCACTAAATTCTGTAAAACAACAAGCTAATTAAAATGTGTGGAGACCACAGAATGAATTTAAACATCTTGATAGTAACATACTAGTAAATTATTACCCCACATTAACATGTAAACTATATATTACTAGCATTACCTGACATTAACGTTGGATCTTCTGTTTTACGTATCAGACGAAGCCTGGCATCAACTAACATATATTCTTTCTCTATATCAGAAACTTCTAATATCTCCACTTTCTTCTCTACAACAAATGAAGCATAATTCTACATTAAAGATACTTTCCCAGAAAAATATTTATCGGGTGGTTATTTCCAATAAAAGTATGCCATTTTGGTAACATGGAAAGTAGAAACATCTGGAAAAATGCTGGATTGCCTGAACAACACCCATGGAGCACATACAGAACAAAAATGTAAGGGTTTCCCTAATCGGCAACCTGACAATCAGGGATGTCTGCTTGCACGACAAGATCTCAGCGTAAGTGAGCACTTGATGTATATGTTGATAAACTTGATGGTGAGCTGAAGTGTACAACAGTTTCTGAGATAAAAACCATGGAAGCAAAATTTTAACAGATTAATTAGTTTGAATATGTTTTTAGTCCAAGTATATTATCAAATCACCCACTTTGTACCCGGGAATGTATCTTTAATATCTCTACCACATATAAATCATAATTCTACATTATCTCAACAACAGGGTTATTCCATGTCAAGTGGACTAAATTCTCAGAAAGTTGTAAAGTGACCCACTCAGAAAATTATGGAAAAACTATAAGTTATAGTGCAATATTAATGCTAGAGTCACATAAATGAAATGAAATGGGGTTTAACATCCTACTGTTCTGCTCCTAAACTGGGCTAATGAAGAGAGGCATATGCACCATACAGTGTGCTATGGCCTGCCCTTATATCGAATTCCAACTGCCAAGGGATCTTTTACATGCATGGCAATGTATACACAGGACCTCAGTTTTTTGTGCCATCCGAAAGACTAGACAGCTGTCCTTGTCAGGTCCTCCATCCTGCACCACTGACATGGGGAAACCATGTCGGAAAATCCCGATGAACTTTCTTGGCCAATGTAGGGATCGACCACGAGACCTCCAGGCTAATGAGCCAGCATCTTACCCACTTAGCCACCGGGGCTCCCAATATCAAACTGACCTGTATGATTTTTCTCTTCTCCTTCAAGATCATGTTTTGTGGTTGATAAACTTTCTCCAATCTACAAAACATAATATTTTAACAAAATGTATATTACTAATGAGGATCATCGAAAACAGTGAACAGAAATTATATACCATCTCTCATCGTTTCATCAACCGGTCCATCAATCAATGTGAAATTATCCCAGGAACAAGCCAATCTACAAACATAAGACTTTAACAAAGTGTATATTACTAATGAGGATCAAAGAAAACAGTGAACAGAAATAATATTACATCAACAAGAAGAGTAGAGGTTGGGACCGAGTTCCTGGCCTAACAATTTGTAGCTAATATTCAATTGTTTCAATAGCATTTAGTAATTGAACTGGAATATACTGGTCCACGTGGCCGACGTGGCTATACTAGCCTTTATCAAGCAATGATAATATATAAAATAACAATATACAGAGGTAATAGATGGTCATTTCAATCAATTATGTTATATGAAAAGATAAAGTCACTTACATCCAGTCTCGTGTTAGTAACAGGTTTGACTATCCAGGCATATTCTGGTTTACCAAGACGTAGAGCATTTAATGTTGCTAGGTAACACTGAGCTTGACGTTGAATTCCTTTTAATCCTGGTACTTCACGGCCCAACCTCATTCCATGCTCATACATTATACACCCAGCTACAAATATAAAACAGATTATTAGAAATTCATGGACAGTGTTCCTGGAATCATTGCTCGGAGTTGGATTAAAACAATTGAGATCAATTTCAAGCAGACCAGATAGAGAGAGTGAGAAATAGGGTTTAACGTCCACTCGACACAAACTAGGTCTATTCGGGACAATGGGTCTTTAGGCCGTGTTGAATTGATTCCTTGTTTCTCCTTGCCCGCGCGTTTAGCTCAAGGACCCAGAAAATCGTGCGCTTACATTTTTAACACATAAAAAAATATTCAAATAATTACATTAATAACATCTAAATAAAATTCTACCAAACATCAGAAGTCAATTCTCGTTGTTTATTCCTCGTTAAGAACTAAAGATGTTGATAATACACATGTAGGGGCCCACATACCATGGAATAAGTTACACTGTATTTGATTGGATGAATTCCGCAAAATGGCGTGTGTAGCAGTCATTTCGGCTAATGGGAAAGCATATTATAAACTGTAAGACAGTCGCAAATATTTAACCGCGAACCTGAATAACCAATTTTTTCATTGCCTAAAATTATAACACGTCATTATTATTCATGTATTTTCCAATCATATCTTGTGTACTAAATTACGCACACCTTACAAAATGGCGAGCTGTGCCGGGACATAGGTAAATTCGCGTACCGCTAATTTATTGATCTTCCAGGAAATAATAACGAACGAACGAACGAATGGGACCACTATTATTTCCCTGAAGATCAATAAATTAAGTCGACCGGTACGCAAATTTACCTATCTCGACTGGACTCTGGTGGGTATCCCAGCACTTTCATGTTCGATGATATTGTCGAAACCTTCTATAACTCAATAAGCGAATCAAATTTCGTCTAATTGAAATGTTTCTATTGTATTGTAACACAAGAATACGGAAAATTTATATCAAAATATGGTTATTTCATATTTTAAAAAGTTAAACAAGAAGCTACTTGTTACTAAATTTTAGTTTGTTATTAAATCTATTCAATTAAATATTATCTGTGTTTTCTTTCTAACCAATAATATAAGTAGATTATTTATAATATTAAAAAAGGGTACACAACCCCCGGACTATAGATATTATGCTAGACAACTTTGTGTTTTGAAACCCACTTTGTGTTGTGTTTACCGCACTACCGCACATGATTGCCATAGTGGTGGCAGGAGAAACAAGGAATCAATTCAACACGGCCTTAGCAGTGGGAGGAAAGCGGAGGACCCGGAGAAAACCCACATGGTTGAACAGGCGACCCTACTCCTTTTCACATACAACTGAGGAATCGAAACCCCACCAGTTGACACAATGACAGACCTAATGATACAATGCGTAAGCGCTAACCATTCGGCCATCCAACCCCACTAGCATACCAGATGACAAACCTATTTAGTATAACATTAATTCATTGAAATTGTTGAAATTCAATAGAATAATTCACTTTACAAATGAGAATGGAAAGAGCACCTTGCAAAGCATGTTCACAATTGATAATCTGAAAATGAGAACATGTATCTATAACAGATAAATGATGCTTACGTGCTATGGCAATATATGATAATGTATTATTTCATAAAAAGGATTTGATAAATGGGGTTTAACGTGCTACTGTTCCACTACAACTGGGCTAATGAAGACAGGCATATGTCATACAGTGTGCTATGGGGGGAATTTTGCTCAGATAGCGGCGCTATAATCTACTCTTATATCGAATTCCAACTGTCAAGGGTTCTTTTACGTACAAGCCAGGGTGTACACAGGACCTCGGTTCTTCTCTCCATCCAAATGACTAAGGATTTGATAAATATGTTGGAATTTGTTAACTTTATTTTATTTACCTTTACTATAGTTATTTCTATCTACATAATAAGATATAATAGATATACCCTACCTTTTCTATAGTTATTTCTATCTACATGATAAGAATACAGAAGGTTGTAATAATTATGAGTAGTTAAATCAACAGATCTTGCTCGGCTCTCTAATATATTCACTACCTGTAAATTATAAATTAAATCAATAACATCAGAGAGAGAGATGGGGTTTAACATCCAATCCACACAAACTTGATCATTTCAGGACTAACAAATGGCTCAAGTTTATTTCAATAATCCCCTTTAGAGCAACAGGGTTTTTAGCAGTAGCAGGAAACTGGAGGACCTGGTGAAAACACATACGGTTGAACAGACGACCCTACTCCTTCTCACGTACAAGCAGGGAATAGAAACCACCCCACTTGACTCAATGACAGACCTTCTGATTCAACGCTCATATGTTAACCATTTGGCCACCCAACCCCCCAAACATTGAAAGAGAGTAGGATTTGTGATCAAACGGTTGCATGTTTGAGACTGAAATTGAGCGTCGTGTTCTTGTGCCCTTGAATAAGACACTTCATCCCTGGGTAGCAATTACACAAAACTTCCAACTTCTCTGTACCAAGTAGGCTAATGAAGACATGCATACACCATGCAGTGTGCTATGAAGGAAATTTTGCCCGGGCAGCGGAGCTACGGCCTACTCTTATATCGAATTCCAACTGCCAAGGGATCTTTTACGTGCACGCCAATATGTACACGGGACCTCGGTTTTTCGTCCCATCAGAACAACTAGACAGCTGTCCTTGTCAGGCCCTCCGTCCTGCATCACTGACAAGGGGAAACCACGTTGGAAAATCTGGATGAACTTTCTCGGCCAATGCAGGAATTGAACACCCAACCTCCAGGCTAGCGAGCCAGCGTCTTACCCACTTAGCCACGTGATTCCCTGGTCCCATCCAAACGACTAGATGCTGTTCTATGCCAGGTCCTCATTGCTGCATCATCACAAAAGGAGCCATGCCAATACAGGGATCGAATACGCGAGCTCTAGGTTAGCAAGCCATTGTCTTACTCACTGAGTCACTACACAAGAGAGTTATTGTCTAACCTATCGCAATGAGATTGATCGATAATAACTCACCTCTTCATTTAAATCTACAAATGGGAAATCAACGAGCGTTTGTAAATCTCCTCTTTCACATAACACAATTAACAACTGACGTAAACAATCTTTTCTTCTGTAATAAACAAAAGACATTCACAATTAACAACTGACATAAACAAGCTTTCCTTCAGTAATAAATAAAATATTATCAACTAATTACTATTCCTTTAGATTAACTGTCTGACAAAGCGAAATGAAATGGGTTTAACGTCCTACTGTTCTGCTCCAAACTGCACTAATGAAGACAGGCATACGCCATACAGTGTGCTATGAGGGAAATTTTGCTCGGGCAGCGGCTAAATGGCCTACTCTTATATCGAATTAAAACTGTCAAGAGATCTTTTACGTGCACGTCAATGTATACACCGAACCTCAGTTTTCCGTCCCATCCAAACAACTAGACAGCTGTCCTTGTCAGGCCCTGCATCCTGCATCACTGACAAGGGGGAACCTCGTCGGAAAATCTGGATGAACTTTCTAGGCCAATGCAGGGATAGAACACCCGACCTCCAGGCTAGTGAGCCAGCGTCTTATCCACTTAGCCACCGTGATCCTCCTCTGACAAAGCTCCTCAAGGCTTTCCAGCCAGTTTCTCCCTGGTCGTGGTCATTCGGTTGGGATGAAAAGCCAAGGTCCTTTGTATACCTGACAAAATTTCACATATGCATGGCGTAAATGATATTGAATGACTTTTAAAGAAATTAGTGCGAAATACACAAGGTTAAAAGATACCAGGTTGTCAAGTATAAATAAAATGGCTTTTTTATGAACAATATAAAAATAGTACTGCATGATTTACCTGCTGGGTTCTGGGTTACCAATCATGGCACTATACGCCTCTTCATTGTGGTTTAACTCTAAATGATATTTAAATTTCTTCGACCATAATGTCGGCTAAAAATATACAGTTGGTAGATTTCATTTATATAACTAGAAAATTGCAAACAGGACTAAATCAATCTTTATACGAATAGAAAATATGACAAGAATTAATCGTTTAGCACATAAAAATAATGATAAGCCATTGTCATTTTTTGCTGCACTATCAAATTTCTCAGGGCTTAATCTTCGCTTATATGTACTCAAGAGATAGAGAGAGAGAGAGAAATGGGGTTAACGTCCACTCTACACAAACCAGGTCATTTTGGGACTAACATCTGGTTTAATTTTATTTCAATAGTTCGCTAGAGCGTAGGGGTCTTTAGCAGTGGGAGGAAACCAGATGACCCGGAGAAAACCCACGAGGTTGGACAGGCGACCCTATTCCTTGTCACGTACAACCGGGGATTCGAAACCCCGCCAGCTGACTCAATGACAGACCTTATGATACAGCGCGCATGTGCTAACCATTCGGCCATCCAACCCCCCCTATATGTACTCAGATTGATTATTTAACATTTAATTAAGAAATCAAAATACCAACTTTAGATAACCTCTTGGTTTGATTTAATCGGATTTAAAAAAAAATGGTGGCAAGCTTATTAGATAAAGAAGAGCTTAGATCGATGAAATTTTAATTCATCATATCTTTGTAAATACTGAACCATCTTCAGCCCGATATTAACCATTCATCTTTTACAATATTATAGTTTGCACTAAATGATGCATCAGGATTTATTATTATTATTATTATTATTATTATTACAAAATTTATATAGCGCCCCTTTCACAGCTGTGTTCAAGGGCACTTTACAGTGTAACAAAAACATACATTCAAAAAGTAAATAACATCAAAAATGTTAAAAATACATTTTAAAAAAAAAAAAAAAAAAAAAAAAAGCAATTATTTCTAAAAATACATACAATAACTACAATAGACAAAATAATGGGTGTTAAAATTTTTATAAGCCTTTAAAAATAAGAAAGTTTTAATCTGTTTTTAAAAATTGACAAGTGATGATGCAATTCGAATATTTGATTCCATAAAATAGGCGCTTGATAACTAAAAGAACGTGCCCCGTAACTAGAAAGATTTACAATTTTTTGCTTTAAAAGTAATTTATCAGATGAACGTAGGGTTCTGTCTGGGGTGTATAATTCTAAAAGTTCAGAAAAATACTTTGGTGCTAAATTATGAAGGCATTTAAAAGTTAAAAGTAAAATCTTAAAATCTATTCTATATTTAATGGGCAACCAGTGCAGCTGAAAGAGAACAGGGGTTATACTTGTATATTTATTCGTCAAGGTTATTAATCTAGCAGCAGTATTTCGAATTCGTTGGAGTTTGTTAATAAGTTTAAGGGGTAAGCCAGCTAATAGAGGGTTTAAAGCCTTGTAACTCAAACTGTTTGGTATATTTCTTAGCAATTTAGTATTTCAATTGGAAATTCTAAAACACTCTTTTATAAACAAGTCTCCTTGAGAAAACTGATACTGGTCCTTTATTATTATTAAAACTTACCAGATTTGGATCTTTATCATCGGCTATAGTTATAGCTATATCAGCCAATCGTATTACTACGTCAGGAAAACCGAACTCCTCAAACTGCCGAATAACCTGTACAAATAAATAATCATCTGTTATAATGAAATGAAATGGAGTTTAATGTCCTACTCCGACTGGCCTAATGAAGATGGGCATACGTCGTGCAGTGTGCTATGAGGGAAATTTTGAATTCCATCTGCCAAGGGATCTTTAACGTGTACGCTAATGTGTACATGGAACCTCAGTTTTTCGTACCATCTGAACATTGTTCCTTGCCAGTATCTCTGTCCTGCACCACTGACAAGGGGAAACCACACCGAGATATTTACCAAAAAATAATCATCAGTTAAAACACCTGTACAGATTGAAACACCAGTACAGATTGAAACACCTGTATTCAGGTATTATACAAATCTATCTGATTAAAACACAGATCTTATTTCGTTTCACTTTTTATAGTTCAAAATTTTGTTTTACTTGTCTTTACTATACTTGGATCTGGAAGAGTTGTTATATTACAACTGTAGTGTAGGCCATCGAAAGTATGAAAAAACGAAACGAAATATAGATATGTATTTTAACCAGATTGTATACAAATCTATCCATTTTTACAAGCAATCAGCCGGAATACTTTTAATTTAAAATGCGATTAATAGACAATAGTAGATTGTAAAATATACAGAAATAATTTATTGGTAACACCGAATATTGATTTTACTATTGAGATATATGAATTCATTATTCAAATATATCAATATATTAATTCATTATTCATATGCTATTCAAATATTTCATTCAATTAAAATACAGTAGCTTGGAGATACACTAGTGGATGACCCGGCCAACTATACACCAAATTTCAGCCTCAGGACAGCCCTAGTGTAGCCGCCAACCTTGAATAGACAGACAGACAAACGACAGTCACAAATATTATAGTATAGATTAAAACCCATGAAAACCAGCAAACACAATGTACGCTGGTATATTTTGAATGGGGTACGCTGTGAACTTGGTAGTGATGTATGGTGTTCTAAAAGGATGCATCACAAATATTAGTATAGATAAATACAAGTGCTGATATACTATTCTGCTGACGATTAGACTAACCGTTAATATATGCCTCATCCCATCGTTGTCACTTACAACGGAGGAATCGAAACCATGCCAGTTGAATCAATGACAGGCCTGATGATACAGCGTGCACGTGCTAACCATTCGGCCATACACCCCCCCCATCCCATTTAAACTATATACAAGTATAGAAACATTCAGACTTACCTTTAAATAAAAGAGTATTTCTAGAGATGATTCCGTACTTTCTTCATCAACTTGTAATAATTTCTGTGATAAAAACTCATCTGATGTGACTCCACTACCAGCCCTGACAAAACAGTCTACAGCCTTGGATGGCTCACTGAAACAAAACGCTAACATGAATATTCATGAATGAAATGGAGTTATACTACAGAAACCTATTGTGAAATATGAGACAGGTTAAATTTACAAGTGTTTAATTTCTCAATCACTGTTAAAAAATAAACAACCCAATTGATTAATGATGTATAATGATTAATATTTGAACAGTGGTCAGGAAATTAAATTCTTGTAAACTCAACACTCATTATCAAAATTAATTAGTCAGCTTTAAACTGGACAGCAGTACAAATTAGATGATATTGGATGATTATAAATGATTTTTACGAATTTTTAAACAAAGATTTGATATTGAATGAATGTGAAAGAAATTAGTGCTAGATACACAAGATTAAATGATATCCAGGTTACAGTGATACCCTTAACTCGAGTTCATAAAGCATTCTCAGACTTAAGTTAAGAATTTACTCAAAATTGTTCGCCCTATTTTAACTAAAATATAGCCCTTAATAAAACTCATGTTCTTTTAACTTATCTTATACATCCATAAGAAACTATGGGCAAAGTTTTGTGTTTCTGGATCAAAGATATTTCTCATAAACAGTGATTGAAAATTGATTAACTGAGAATGCTTTGTCAACTTCGAGCCTGGTTAATTTTTCTTTATTATGAAAAACAAAACTTACTCAAAATGGAGATAGGCTAAACCAAGGAGAAATTGTCGAGCTGAAACATTTTTATTACACCAGGAATCTGTTTGTCGTATATATTCCTGTAACCATAGATACTGACAAGAACCAACCAAAAACTCAGCAAACACAAACTCTTCACTCATTGGCCAGCTGTATGATTGTCAAGGTAACAGTGGCTATTGTATAAAAACTTACAAAAAAAACAAACTTTCTCATTAAACTTCCATCGTGATTATAAATTTCTGAAAGAGGGGGTTTAACGTCCACTCAACACAAACTAAGTCATTTTGAGACTAACATGGTTCAATTTTATTTCAATAATTCATTTGACGCGTAGGTGGCTTTCGCAGTGGGAGGAAACCGGAGGACCTGGACAAAACCCATGAGGTTGGACAGGCAAGCCTACTCCTTGTCACATACAACCAGGGAATCGAACCTACGCCATTTGACTCAATGACAGACGTTATGATATAATGTGCATGCGCTATCCATTCGGCCGTTGGCAGTAGGATGTTGAATCCCATTTCATTTCATTTAAAATACTATGAAGGATACAGGAGTCTAGCTTGTAGAACAGACAATGGAAGCAAAAGGTCAATCCATATAGAAGGTGTTTCCACATTAACCAGTGAACTTTGACCTAGTAATGACCTAGAATAACTTCCTCCGACTCCATCTAAAAATATTTCAAACAATGTCGAGTTTCCAGAACCTGTAATAAAAAAATATTAACATCATCAAAGCAATGGTTGAAAATATTAACATCAAAGCAATGGTTGAAAATATTAACATCATCAAAGCAATGGTTGAAAATATTTACATCAAAGCAATGGTTGAAAATGTTTACATCAAAGCAATGGTTGAAAATGTTTACATCAAAGCAAATGGTTGAAAATATTAACATCATCAAAGCAATGGTTGAAAAATGAAAAAAACAATTTGTTTTTTCTCAAAGAGTGTGCTATGAAGGAAATTGTGCCTGGACAACAGAGCTACGGTCTACTCTTATATCGAATTCCAACTGACAAGGGTTCTTTTACGTGCACTTCAATGTGTTTACAGGACCTCGATTTTCCGTTCCATCCGAACAACTAGACAGCTGTCCATGTCAGACCCTACATGTACGTCCTGCACCACGGAAAAACCTGAGACGTCCAGGCTATCAAGCCAGCAGCTCCCCGCAACTCTGAACTAAAAAGAAGTTCAATCTGGTGTACACAAGATTATCTCTACAAATATCTTTTTTACTCTTGCACTATATTCTTCATGTTATCACCCAAGTTCGGTGATGTTGTTTTAAATATTAGTGTATGAAAATTGCATATTACCTGCATGATGTGTTCAATTTGGATATTACAAAGCATGAAAACCAAATTATCCAGAATATGAGCATTTGTTTGTTGTGGATATTCTTATCAGGTTATTGTGTTTGTAATGTTACATAATGTGAGCGACAGTGATAGGTAAAAGATTAGAATCATCATTGTGTGATACAATCTCCGATGTCCTTTAAAGTTGCAATTTCATATTTTTACGTTATATTTTTAAAATTTATTAAAATAAAGCCTTAAAATAGATGGTATCTATAAACAGTCCTACCTTGTTAAAGAATAATCCTATTAATCCTATAATTCACTATTGCTAGTTGAGAAATTGGCAAAAATATCATTTTCCTCTTCAAATTCAAACGTTTGAAAAAAGCTACTCCATGGTGGAGAATAGAAAATAAGGGAGGTAATTGGGAGGTACTGGTGTTATTATTTCCAGTGTAAATGAGTTTTTAAGTGTGAGAATGACACCTATGATCGTATAATAGTGAGTTGACAACCTATTGAGCAAAAGACATAGAAATAATTATGTTTTGACTTTCTTAGAAAATATGAAATTGTAACTTTAAGTGACCATACTATTGTTTAATTTAACAAAGGCCCAGCGGCTGGTATATGTATAATCATGGTCAAGTTAGATAATAACTACAATGTGTTCAATTATCACACACCATTGTTCTGTAACCTGCTATGTGATTATCGTGAGAAGGGTTTCTTTTATATTTAGTACTTTGATACTATTGTACATGTTAGAATAAAATGTCGAATCCAGATCATCTTTTATTTCTGTTAACCCAAACTATGTTATAGTAATCTCGTTTTTATTTACAAGTGACACATCAATTGATATCAGTAGGAATGTGTTAATCAGTCTCCCACCAATAAAATATCTATGAACTTCTGGCTCGAGTTCACAAAGCATTCTCAGACTTAAGTTATAAATTTACTAAACTAAAGTCTTTCAATTTAGTTTAAACATATTTTATTGACAAATATCAAAAGGATTGAGCACAAGTTTCAAAAACTTAGAAAACTTGTTTATGAGAAATATCTTTGATCCAGAAACACAAAACTTGGCACATAGTTTCTTATTGATGTATTTGATACATTAAAACAACAGTTTTATAAAGGGCTATATTTTAGTTAAAATAAGGCGAACAATTTTGAGTAAATCTTTAACTTAAGTCTGAGAATGCTTTTTGATCTTGGGGCCAGATCATTTCTTACCTTTATTGGGTGATAGTCCAGAACTATCAGCAATCTCAAGGATGGACAACTGGCGCAGATTAAATTCTCTAGAAAATATCACAATAGTATATATTTAATAAGTGGGAGAGAGAGAGAGAGAAATTGGGTTTAATGTCCACTCGACACATACTAGGTCATTTTGGGACTAACATTATGGTTTTAATTTTATTTCAAGGTTGGGCAGGCAACCCTACTCCTTGTCACATACAACCGGGGATTCAAAATCACACCAGTTGACTCAATGACAGGCCTCATGATACAGCGGGCATGTGCTAACCATTCGGCCATCTCACCCCCCACAATAAGTGGAAGATAACCAGATAAAGCCTATGAATTATGGCAGATGACCCTACTCCTGGTTAGATCTATTTGATAAGGCCAACTTCAAGTTTGGTTAAAGGTCACAAGATGTAAACTGGGCTAGCACTAATCCCCACTCTAACCCTCACCCTGGATATGGCTCTAACGCTTACCCTAACCTTAACCTTGAATCTTGCCAACAATCACGTGCCCTTACCTTATTTACATCTCAGCAACCTTGACAAAAATTGAGTTGGTCTTAACAAATAGATCTAGCCCGCCTACTCCTTATAATATACAGTGTTTGACCAATGGCCACCTCCTGGCTTAAAAAAACCAGAGAAAATCCACGAGTTTAGGCTGACAACTCTACTTCTTGTCACATACAAACCTTGGATTAAGACCACAATTTGCATAGGTAACAAGCCTGATAATCTGACAGAACATTATCTATTATAAAGTCAGTACTTACAGAGCATTATTTATCATAAAGTCAGTACTTGAAGAGCATTATCTATCATAAAGTCAGTACTTACAGAGCATTATCTATTATAAAGTCAGTACTTACAGAGCAATATCTATTATAAAGTCAGTACTTGCAGAGCAATATCTATTATAAAGTCAGTACTTGCAGAGCAATATCTATTATAAAGTCAGTACTTACAGAGCATTATCTATTATAAAGTCAGTACTTACAGTGCGTTGTTTTGAGTTGGAGTAGCTACTACATGTGAGAACTGATCTAGAACCATGTAATTTTTTATCAACATAGCTAATTCTGGTATGAGGGATGTTCGGATGTGCATGGCTGTATCAAAATCTACTCCATATTGATGCTGCAAAATTAATAAAATATACACATTATAGATTTTTACTTTAGTTTTCAGTTATTATATTATAACCACGTGTGTGTGTGTATGTGTGTGTGTGTGACAAAATTATTATTATTATTATTGTTCGATTTATAATAACGGATATAATAGGATATGTGACATATATGACTAGTTTCTACATGTAGTCGACTGACAACAAGGAGATTAAAATGTCCAACAATGGAGAAACTCTAAGTTAATCATGTAGTTTATAATCTGAAATTGTAAACTGCAGAATGAACCTTGTTATGGTGTGGTATTAAAGTCATATAATCCACACATAAATGTACTCGGATTCATGGGAGCCAAGTGGGTAAGATGCTGGCTTGCTAGTCTGGAGGTCGCAAGTTAGATCGCTGCACTGGCCGAGAAAGTTTTCCGGCATGGTTTCCCCTTGTCAGTGGCGCAGGATGGAGGGGCCTGACAAGGACAGCTTTCTAGTCGTTCGGATGAAAAAAAAAATGACAAGATCCCGTGTATACTTCGGCGTGCACATAAAAGATCACTTGACAGTTGGAATTCGATATGAGTAGGCCATAGTGCCGCTGTCCAGGCAAAATTTCCCTCATAGCACACTGTATGGCGTATGCACATCTTCATTAGCCCAATCAGAGCAGAACAGTAGAACCTTAAACCCCATTTCATTTCATTTCATTTCATTTCATTTCACTTAGATTCATCATATAACTAAATTCTTCAGGAATTGTTAACCGCTTGTAAACTACAATATTGTGAAAGTTGAATCTCTAATAGAAATATGAGTCTAAAAATGGTTTAATTCCGTTCAGTATTTACAAAGATATGTCCATTTGTATGGATTTCCCGGACAAAATAACAATGTACCTGTTGACTAAATTTCATGAGAAGATCAGAAAGTAGAATAAAATTTCTAGTGAAGGTCAGTCGATTTGATGAATACTGTTGTAGACATTTTAACAAGATGGCTACTCCTGTCTGACTGTGAAATAAACGACTACAGATTGACTGTTTCTCTGCATCTATACCTGAAATACAGAAATAAAGTAAAACATTTTACAAAGAGGGCTTGGCAAAGAGGGCTTGGCAAAGGACAACATATAATCATTCCGATGAGACAAAAAACCAAGGTCCTGTGTACACATTGATGTGCACGTAAAAGAACCCTTGATATACTGGACTGAGAGAGAGAGAAATGGGGTTTGACGTCAACGTCAACTCGACACAAACTAGGTCGTATTGGGTCTAACATATGGTTTAATTTTATTTCAATAATAGCAATATTATTTCAATAATAGCAATATTATTTCAATAATAGCAATGGGAGGAAACCGGAGGACCTGGAGAGGGAGAGAGAAATGGGGTTTAAAGTCCACTTGGGACTAACATATGGTTTAATCTTATTTCCATAATTCGCTAGCGTGTAAGGGTCTTTAGCAGTGGGGGGTCATGGAGAAAATTCACAAGGTTGGACAGGCGACTCTACTCCTTGTCACGTACAACCGGGGATTCGAAAGCACACCAGTTGACTAAATGACAGACCTTATGATACAGCGCGCATAATGCTAACCATTCGGCCATCCACCCCCCCTGAAACCTGATGAGCCTAATTTAAATACGAATGAACACGAGACGAGAATTAATCAATTCAATTATATTTCTTACCAGATTCTTCCATTAAAATATGTCCGTCTGTTTCTGCCTGGTTTAAATCGAGCAGACGTATCAGTATCTCCATGGCAACTGTTATGTTATTAATCTCTTGTATATGTAGGCCGAGTAACTGACAGTTAGTCGTAGAAAGACGACCACTGAAATATCATATAAAATATCATCAACATGCAGACGGAGAGGTTGCCAGGCAACGAAACATACGCCCACAAGATAATTCAAGCAAAGCTTGGAAATACGCTCACACAGCAGCTATGCCTTGATAGCAGTTTATCCAATAGGAACCAGAAACTGTTGAATCTATGCTGAATATTGATAGGGTTCGTCCTCTCATAAACCCAATGCTTCCCATCAAATTTGAAAAAAATATATAAAGCCTCTATTAACATTCGACAAGAAGACATAACTTTGGTACGAAAGGTCGCAGAATGCTGAATATTGATAGGGTCCATTCTCTCATGACCACAATGCTTTACACCAAATTTGAAAAGAACCCAGCTGTGTGTGAGAGAGAGAGAGAGAGAGATATGTTAATGTTCACTTGACATGGTCAATTTTATTTCAATAAATCGCTTGCGCTTAGGGTCTTTAGCTGTGAGAGGAAACCGGGGGATCCAGAGAAAACACACAACCCTACATCTTGTCACGTATTAAAAAGACAACACTTGACTCCATGACAGACCTTATGATCTAATGTGCATAAGTTAAAACATTCGCCCCTCCCTCCCCCCCAACCCACTTACTATTTATAGAACACTGTATGCTAGTTATAATATCACGTTTCCCCCAAATATTAGATATTTCTTTTCAAAAAATCTTTACAGCATAAAACTCACTCTTCCGTGAAGTAGACTAGATCAACCAGATGGTCAGCCAGTTCCTGTGGATTATCCAGTAACAATAAACGGGACTGGAATTGTTGAGCATGCTCACTGGAGATCTCATTATCAACTCGACCGATACAATCACATAATCTTTTTACATCTTGATGTAACGACCATGCTGAAATAACAATTATCATGATGACACCTAGCCCCAAGTTCACAAAGCATTCCCAGACTTAAGTTAAGAATTTACTCAAACTTGTTCCTCTTATTTTAACTAAAATAAAATAGCCATTTATAAAACTTTTGTTGTTTTAATGTATCAAATACATAAATAAGAAACTATGTCCAAAGTTTATGTTTCTGGATCAAAGATATTTCTCTTAAACACTGATTGAAAGTTGAGCAAATTCTTAACTTAAATCTGAGAATACTTTCCTTAGGTCTGAGAATACTTTGTGAACTCGGGGGCCCCGGAAGCTCATGGAAAAAAAAAAATGAAACGAAATGGGGTTTAACCTCCTACTGTTCTGCCCTGGCTGGGCTAATGAAGACGGGCATACGCCATACAGTGTGCTATGAGGGAAATTTTGACCAGACAGCGGCGCTATGGCCTACTCTTATATCGAAATCCAACTGCCAAGGTATCGTTTACGGGCACACCAATGTGTTCAGGGGCCCTTGGTTTTTGCGTTTGATTAATGACTATACACTGTCCATTGCCAGGCCCTTGGTGCAGCACCACTGACAAGAAGGAACCACCCCGGAAAATCCAGATGAACTTTCTCAGTCAACAGAGGACCTCCAGGTTAGCGAGTCAACCATGTTCCTGAAGCAACGACTGCGAGTTTCACAACATCTGGCCGTTCCTTGTTTACTTCACAATTCCCCAACTTATAGCTATGTTATCTACAGACACGTGACCAGTAGCGTCCAATCAGGGGTTGTGACATCGGGACCTCCACGGAAACCTTGACATTGAATGAACCTTTAACTTTGCAACTCGGTTATCACAGGTGGACAATTTAGCTTGAAATGAAATGAAATGAAATAGAGTTTAAAGTACCGCTGCTACACTAGTAGACCATCTATGATTCATCTTCAAACACTCATACTTTCGTTCAGAAATGAAATGAAATGAAGTTTAACGTCCTACTGTTCTGCTCCTAACCTGGGCTAATGAAGACGGGCATACACCATACAGTGTGCTATGAGGGAAATTTTGCCCGGACAGTGGCACTACGGCCTACTCTTATATCGAATTCCAACTGCCAAGGGATCTTTTACGTGCACGCCAATGTGTACACGGGACCTCGGTTTTCCGTCCTATCCGAACGACTAGACAGCTTTCCTTGTCAATTTAGCTTGAAAGCGCGAGACTTGGTATTCACGACAATCGAGGAATCAGATAAGCTCACAAGTTGAGCTTGTACGCAATCGAAATTAGTGCTGAAATATGCAGGGTATTTTGTGAAGGCCTTGATAAGATGTACGTAGTTAAAGCGAGATCAAGCCTTCTATTGAAGATGCGAGCCAACGTGCTACTCACTGAGCCACTTCATGACAAAAAACTATAATTTGGCACTTTAGCGTGACAATCAGCAGTCCCGTCACACAATTTGCGTTAAATTAACATTGGATAATCCGACCTTCAATCAGTGGGTGTTAACCGACAAGTAATCACCAATCAATTATCTGTGAGCATAAAACTTGTGTCGGTCTTAGTTGATTACCTTGATAATTTTATAATCTCTTGTAAGAGAGCCTTGGTATTTGATTTGAGTTCTCATGTCATCATATTTTAAGTTCCAGGTATTCGAGGGTGCAATATAATAATAATTCCAATATTCGAATGTACAATAATACTTCCGGTATTGAGTATTCCGACGTGCTGTGTAATCCAGCATATTGTATCGATCAAATACAATGTCGGAATTGACAGAGTCCATTGTTTACTGACAGTTGAAAATACAAGAAATTAAATTCACCTTCATCCTCGTCTTGTACATCAATATCTAAATATGGTAATTGTTGGTCCGAGAGATGGTTTACTTCCTCCAGACGATCACAGACTCGAAGAAAACTTAATGACTCCTGTAGTAGAAAATAATTAAGACATGAATTCAACAGAAATTAAATGATGAGTTATGGGTTCCAAATCTCACAAATATACTCAGCTCACAACTTTCAGTGCTCATTCAAATAATGACGGAAAATATTTGAATAGTAAAATATGTATTGGAATGTGACCAGTAATTGGATGTGATCACTAATTAAATCAATTTGGCCACTAATTAGATATGAACACTATTTGGGTGTGAGCACTAAATGGATATGAGCACTAAATGGATATGAGCACTAATTGGATATGAGCACTAATTGGATGTGACCACTAATTGGATGTACAGCATACCAGTCACACCACATGACATCTACATAATGGAATGGGGTTTGACATCACCTTGACACTTTATCAGGGAGTTTTTAATTTGATTTTTGTTTTCTTTATATATATATTCCCGCATTTCTACCAACTCTTACACATGACCTCAACTTTTTCCTCCAATCTTAAAACAATAGACACATGCTACGCAAATCCTGACAAAAAGAGAACAATGTTTGCAAAACCACAGAGCTTTGTCTTGGCTCAGTTTCCTTACCACACAACTTCATCCACTCGGACATAAATAACTCCTACATTAACGACTGCCCAAATGTTTATAGTTTACAATCAATCAAACCGAAACTTACAACATACCTTTTTAACAAGAGAAACCAGACCGGTGACGTTATCTGAGAAAATACCCTTTATTTTACTCCCAACCTATAAATAAACAAATTATGTTTAATATAAATAAACAAATTATGTTTAATATAAATAAACAACATATTATGTTTAATATAAATAAACAACATGTTATGTTTAATATAAATAAACAACATATTATGTTTAATATAAAAAAAACATTTAAAAATCACACTTATTATGTAGACATAAAACATTACATTTTAAAAATTGAAATATATTCAAAGAACATGATCATTTTTAGCGATATACAGATTTTAAAGATGAAAACTATAAATATAAATGAAATGAAATGAGGTTTAACGTCCTACTGTTCTACTCCGACTGGGCTAATGAACACAGGTTTACGCCATATACAGTGTGCTATGAGTGAAATTTTGCTTGGAAAGCTGCAGTATGGCCTACTCTTATATCAAATTCCAACTGCCACAGGATCTTTTACGTGCACATCAATGTGTACACAGGACCTCATTTTTGGTCCCATCCAAACGATCAGACAGCTGTCCTTGTCATGCCCTACGTCCTGCACCACTGACAAGGGGGAACTAGGCAGGAAAGAGTGACTTTGCATTTCTAGGCTAGAGACATTTCATAATTATCGTTTTACCTCTTTATATTGTAAACAACAGGAGTAGAATTTTGACCACTGATCGAGTTGTAACTGACAATATTCATCCTCTTGTATCTCATAATCCATAGCACAATTACGTATCTATAATTATATAATATTATCTACAATAATATAATCACATACAATAATAAAATTATCTACAATAATATAATTAACTACAATAATACATCTATCTACTATAATAAATTATTACAATAATAAAATTATTACAATGATAAACTTATTACAATAATAAACTTATTACAATAATAAACTTATTACAATAATAAACTTATTACAATAATAAACTTATTACAATAATAAAATTATCTACAATAATAAAACTATCTACTAATAAACTTATTACAATAATAATTATCTACAATAATAAAATTATCTACAATAATATAATTATGACAATTATAGAATTAACACATTAATTAAATTATAAAATTATTATCATTACAAATAAATATCTACAATCATATAACATTTACAACATTAATTCATTTTTGTGCTCAGACTCACAAACTCCTGACTAAATGTACATAGAGTAAAGATTTAGGCTACAAAAACATTGGCGAGTTATTGAAGCATTTACTGTTGTGAAAATCAATGAAATGAAATGATGCTCCATTTATGCTTATGAGAGAGAGAAATGGGGTTTAATGTCCACTCGACACAAACTAGGTCATTTTGGGACAAACATATGATTCAATTTTATTTCAATAATTCGCTTGCGCGTAGGGGTCTTTAGCAGTGGGAGAAAACGGGAGGACCCGGAGAAAAACCCATGAGGTTGGAATTATGCTTATGAAGAAGGGCATAAACCATGCAGTGCGATATGAGGGAAATTTTGTCCACATAGCGGCACTACAGCCTACTCTTATTTCGAACGCCAATTTTTCTTTTACGTGCATGCCAAAGTGTACAAAAGACCTCAACCATGTAGTGTGCCATGATGGAATTTTGTCCGAACAGCGGCACTACAGCCTACTCTCATTTCAAAATTTTTATCTAATTCAAAGTGCTCAGTGGTCTTTTAGTGCACGCCAATGTGTACAAGAGACCACGGTTCAACGACCCAATACTCTTCCTTTGCGGGCCATACATCCTGTGCCACTGACAAGGGGAAACTGTGCCAGAAAATCCAGCGTCACACCTGGAGTGAAACCAAGTTCTTCCAGTTAGCGAGTCAGCGGTTCATTCCTCATGGCACAACGTCTCTGAAAATCAACGCAGCAGAATGAATGAATTTATCCAGTAAAAAAAAAGAAAACACACACAAAAAGATTCCTGATCACAGACCTCTGTCTCGACAGCGTTGGTAACTTCTTCTTTTAAATCTACTATGTTAATATTAACGCTATCAATCTGGATACTCGAGTCTACAGATCTACGATATACCTGAAAATAGAGGATACAAATAAAACACGGCTCAAATGTTTGTTTTGATTTCGTGGTTTTACGTCAAGAGAGGGAGAGATCGAGGTTTAATGTCTACTCGACACAAACTGGGTCATTTCTGGACTAACACACATTTCAATTTTATTTCAATAATTCGCTTGTGAATAGAGTTCTATGTTTAACGTCTACTTGACACAAACTAGGTTATTTCTGGACTAACATATAGTTCAATTTTACTTCAAGAATTCGCTTTCAGATAGGGATCTCTAGCTGTGGGAGGAAACCAGAAGAACCAGAGAAAACCATGAGGTTGGTGGACAGGCAACCCTTATCTTTGTCATGTACAAGCGGGGAATCGAAACCACACCACTTGACTCAATGACAGACCTTAAGCATTTTATACAAGAATAAAGAAAGCCAAGACAGCCACTTACAACAAATTGTAATATTCCTGGGATCGAATTCATGAAAACTTAAAACTAAAATATTTCAAGAATGCAGGCATTTCATTGGTTGAGATTTCAAATCCCAGTAAAAAAATTTATGTCTTTAGCCATTAAAAAGCCTACATTCTTAAAATATTTTAGTTTAAATTTTTGTGAATAAATGAAATGAAATATAATGTGGTTTAACATTCTACTGTTCTACTCCGACTGGGCTAATGACGGAAATTTTGCCAGGCCTACTCTTATATTGAATTCTACTGCCAAAAGATCTTTTAAGTGCATGCCAATCTGTACCCAGGACCTCGTTTTTTTGTCCCATCCAAACAGCTAGACAGTTGTCCTTGTCAGGCCCTCCGTCCTGCTCCACTTTCTCAGCCAACAGCTACATCAAACCCACGACCTCCAGGCTAGCGAGCCCGTTTCTTACTCACTTAGCCACCTTGGCTCCCTTTTTGTGAATAAGGTCACTGGTTCTGATCAAACGACATGAAAACTAAAACTTACATTTAAAGCCTTTAAAATATCTTTAAGAGCGAAATAACCAGGATAAAATATTTTCCCTAGAAAGAAATCGCGGGGATCAATATAACTAGGCAAACAAACATCAGTTGTTTCTGGTGGCTGGAGAATCACGTCTATCCATTGTTCAGTATCACTGAAAGAGAAAGAAATAACATTACTTGATTGGTTACCTGTCAAAGAGAGAGAGACAGAGAGAGAGACAGAGAGAGAGTTTAACGTCCACTCAACACAGACTGGGTCATTTTGGGACTAACATATGGTTTAATTTTATTTCAATAATTCGCTTGCGTGTAGGGGTCTTTAGCAGTGAGAGGAAACCGGAGGACCCAGAGAAAACCCACGAGGTTGGACCCTACTCCTTGTCACGTACAACAGGGAATTCGAAACCACGTCATTGACTCAATTGACAGGCCTCATGATGCATTGCGCATGCGTTAACCATTGGCCATCCAACCCCCCTACCAGTCAGAGCTCGGGTAGACTTTAAAATAAAATAGAAAAGGGTTTAACGTTCTACTGTTCTGCTTCCACTTGGCTAACGAAGACGGGCATATACCATACAGTGTGCCATGTGGGAAATATTTCCCAGACAGTGGTGCTACGACCTACTCACTTATATCGAAATCCAAATGCCAAGGGATCTTGTGTACACAGGACTATTTTTGTCCCATTAAAATTTCAAACGACTACATGATGTCCCCTGCCAACACGCCCACCTCCAACCCCCTGTCCTGCACCACTGACAACAGGGAACCACGCTAGATAAATGGTCATATTATTTATCATCAAACATCTCCATTATCGACGTCATTCTGTTTATATATCTCCTGGCAGTTTTAATAATAAATTACACTAGTATGATATCCGGCTTTGCCCAGGCCCCAAATTCACATGGGGTCCCAATTCGCCTGGGCTTTCAGTTCAACGGGGCCCACATTCATCCGGGGCTTAAAGCATTCACATGGTCATGCTGATTAATCTGGGTATAAGGGTATAAGGCGGTGACGAAGCGTGATGTGCGAACACACTCAAACATCTTTGATTTTATCTAACTCACCTGGTTAGTAAATAAAGTAAACCAGCAACTTACCCAGTGAGTAAATAAACTCTAGCTGTTGATTCACCTGTTGTACTCGTCCATAACGTAAACAATGTATCACATGATATAGTATAATCTACCAGATCTTCCTGTAATATATACAGCATATTATATAACATATAATATATACAGCATATAATATAACATTTAATATATACAGCATATAATTATAAGCTTTGATTAATATCTAATAGCTAAATATTAAACTGGACACAAGTATAAATTGGATGATTTTAAACGATTTTTACGAATTTTTAAAGGAGCTAAATCGCTAAAATTTGGGACCTAGAAATTGACCCTAATGGGTCGCAACGCATATAATAATGTAATCTGATTGTATATAAACTGATTTACATTCAATTGTTTTTGTTTTGACTCTAATTCTAAATCAGTTATGTCCAGCGAAATACGGCATGAGTCTCAACCGAATGACAATTTCTAGCGTCTGGTTATTCCAGTCTATTGCACATTCTCTCCAGATACGACATGGCGTCAATATTTGACAGCAGTTGTGGAATATGTCTAGCCTCGTTCTTTCTGGTCACTTGTTACAAATGACGCTGAAGCGCACTATGGTACATGGTTCGTGTACCAATCGTAAAATGTTTATTTTGTCTTAAATATTGGATATCAGAAGCCTACCTTTTCCCGGTAAGACTTTGGATGATATTGAGTCAGAGACTTAGCTACTTTAAACAAAGATTTTTTATTAAATGAATGTGAAAGAAACTAATGCTAGATACACAAGATTAAAGTTACAATTTCATATTTTCTAAGAAAGTCAAAACATAATTATTTCTATGTCTTTTGCTCAATAGGTTGTCAACTCACTATTATACGATCATAGGTGTCATTCTCACACTTAAAACTCATTTACCCCGGAAATAATAACACAATTACCTCCCTTGTTTTCTATTCTCCACCATGGAGTAGTTATCTTCAAACGTTTGAATTTGAAGATGAAAATGATATTTTTGCCAATTTCTCAACTGGCAATAGTGAATTATAGGATTAATAGGATTATTCTTTAACAAGGTAGGAATGTTTATAGATACCATCTACTTTAAGGCTTTATTCTAATAAATTTAAAAATATAACTTAAAAATATGAAATTGCAACTTTAAATGATACCCGGGTTACAGTGTTATCTCCTTTATGTTGTAGTTCTTCTGCCTTTTTGAGTAATAAAGATAGAAATTGGCAGTCTAACATAAAGAATGACTGTTTTCCCTTTCAACCACAAGATCCAAATATAACAATACATTTCTACTTACATGAGGTGCAAATACTGTAGTTATATGATGAAAGTGAAATTTACCATTTTCATAAGTTGGTTCAACTAGCACAAACTGTAAGAAAATAATCAAATATCATTTGGTTCAAGAAGCACAAATGGTAAAGGCAACAATCAAATATATGTTGGTTCAAGAAGCATAAACTGTAACAAAACAATCTAATATTGTTGTTATATACGTAATTTGATTATGTCCAATTACTAAATGTTGTTCAAAGAATAAATCAACCACTGTATTTTTTTCTAATATTAGTGAATATATATATAGAGTTTTTCAAAGAACATGATCATTTTAGCGTTATCCAGATCTTAAAGATGAAAACTATAAATGAAATGGGGTTTAACATCCTACGGTTCTGCTCCGAATTGGGCTAATGAAGACGGGCATACGCCATACTGTGTTCTATGAGGGAAATTTTGCCCGGGCAACGGCACTATGGCTTACTCTTATATCGAATTTCAACTGCCAAGGGATCATTTACGTGAACATCAATCTATACACAGCACCTCTGTGTTTCGTCCTGCACCACTGACATGGGGAAACAACGTCTGTAAATCCCGATGAAATTTCTGGGCAATGCAGGGATCAAACACAAGACCTCCAGGCTAGCGAGCCAATGTCTTACTCACTAAGCCGACTATAATATAACTGTTTGTAGAGAGAGAGAGAGAGATGGGGTTTAACGTCCACTCGACACAAACTAGGTCATTTCGGGTCTAACATATGGTTCAATTTTATTTCAATAATTCGCTTGCGCGTAGGGGTCTTTAGCAGTGGGAGGAAACCGGAAGACCAGGAGAAAACCCACGAGGTTGGCTGTTTAACTAGTGCTTTAAGATTAAATTATTTCAATATCTAATCTTATAGCATGTAAATTGATCAATTTTCTAGCGGTTCAATTCCATTTCAAATCAGTTAAGACTCGCAAATATATCCCTGGTGATATCTGCTTTTAGAATGCACAATCTGATTACAACACAGATCTATATTTCGTTTCATTTTTTTTATACTTTCGATGGCCTACACTACATGAAGATCTGACCGGCTGTACTGGAAAATCACCTCAGTTGTCATACGAGCGGCTTTTGACCTTATGACGTCAAACAATGAAGCCGCTAGTGGTTTACACAAATTTCCATGCACTTCAAGCCAAAAACTCGCCGTAACAGACAGCTTCATTGGCTAATCCCTCACATCATCCAAACTCGGGTTATATAACAACTATTCCACATCCTAGTATAGTAAAGACAAGTAAAACGAAATTTTGAACTATAAAAAACATAACGAAATAGGATCTGTGTTTTAATGAGAAATGATTTTAATTTTTCAACTTTTTTTCTGAACTTACGCAGTTTTTATCTGTAAAATTAAGATGAATACAAAGCCTCATGGCCGTCACATTGGCTGAATAAAATCTTTTTATCTTGTGTCCTGAACCTGTAAAATCACCAAAATACTTTCATGAAAATATAAAGAAAACAAAAACAACACCATTTACATTTTCAATGTGAATCAATCAAAAAGTCAAATGGTGATTTCTCTAATACAATTGAGTGTAATGTATTTCCTGGTGCTATGAGAGGTATTTTACCCATAGAGCGATGTCTGTGGCTATTCTTCTTACCAGTTCATTTACGTACATGCCAACTTGTACACGGGTGATCACTGTTTGTTGCCAGGCATTCGGTTCTGCACCACTATCATGGGGAAACGACACTGGTAAAATCCTGTAGAACTGTCCTGGTCCACACCAGGATTGAATGAATGAGTGTGTGCTATGAGGGAATTTTTATCTGGGCAGCAGCACTACCACCTACTCTTATATCATATTCCAACTGTTAAGGGTTCTTTTACATGCACGGCAATAGGGGATATGGGGAAACCACATTGTAAAATACTGTGGAATTTTTTTGGCCTACACCAGGTTTGACCCGAGAACCTGAGAGATCTGATACTTACTACCAATGGTGGCTGTGGAACTGGAAGAATTAGGAATCCAATCTAGTAAATTTCTTGTTAAAACACATTCTCTAGTCTGTAATAAATTAAATAACATAAAGAAATCATAGCTAAAAGGAAGCCTTTACATCAACTTAAAAATATTTTCTTTTAAGGAGCCACAGGGGCTCTGCGAGTTAGATGTTGGCTCGCTAACCTGGAGGTCCAGTGTTTGATCAACAGTGTTGGTCACGAAAAGTTCATCGGGATCATTCGGTATGGTTCCCCCTTGTCAGTGGCGCAGGAAGGACGGACTGGCAAGGGATAATGTATGTCGTTTGGATGGGACGAAAACTCAAACCTTTAGACTGTAAGTTGTAGTGCCACTAACAGGGCAAATTTCCCCAATACATGTATTAACGTCTTTATTAGCCCAGTCAGTGTAATTTTGAACTCTATCCTCTTGGGGGTGGGTGAGTAGGGGGGTATTGCCAAATGGTTAGCATATGCGCGCTTATGGCATGGTTTCAATTCCCCGGTTGTACGTGTGACAAGGAGTAGAGCCACCTGTCCAACCTCATGGGTTTTCTCCGGGTCCTCCAGTTTCCTCCCACTGTTAAAGACTCCTATGTGCAAGCAAATTACTGAAATAAAATTGAACCATATTAGTCCCGAAATGACCTAGTTTGTGTTGAGTGGTCGTTAAACCCCATGTCTGTCTGTCTGCCTGTCTCAAGCTTGTTGACTACTCCTGTCCTATTACAACATAACTACATATTATACCAATCTAATTAAAATATAGATCTATATTTTGTTTCGTTTTTTATACTTTCGATGGCCTACACTACATGTAGATCTAACAAGTTATAGTGGGAGTTCACGTTCTGTGACGTCAGGTACCAAGCAAGCGACATTTGACCCGATAACATCAGTCATTTGATTAACCAATTAGCAACCGCTATGCTTTTTAAAATTTACTTTTGCTTTGTTTTGATTTCTATCGCTGGTAATGTCTACCCACAGTTCCGTGCAAAAAAGGTCAAACGCTTGATTCGACAGACCATTTGATTGGCTGACCCCTCATTTCAAGCAGAACACGAGTTAAATAACAAGTCTTCCAGATCCAAGTGTAGTAAAGACAAGTAAAAACGAAATTTTGAAGTATAAAAAACGAAACGAAATAGGATCTGGGCCCTTATTCACGAAAACTTAAACTAAGATACAATCGAAATTTTAAGAAATACTGCAATTCGATTGGCTGACCAGTAAAATCAATTTGCATATATCCAATTTGCATATTGATCAGCCAATCGAATTGCAGTATTTCTTAAAATTTCGATTGTATCTTAGCTTAAGTTTTCGTGAATAAGGGCCCACCAGTGTTTTAATCAGATTGATACTTTACCTTAGTTGACCACATTCTAAGATGATGATCATGACAAACAGTATAAATCTGTGATTCACCACGGAGTGTATGTATAACCATATTGTACGGGGTTACTGGACTAATCTGTTTACCTCTACAAAAACAAACAAATATTTCATAAGCGGTTGCCATTCAAGATACGTCCAATGCTTTAAATGTTAAATAATTTCCCAAAGGGCCTTCAGGCCTTGAATAATTATTTGATTGCTTTGCACCCTTTATAAAATAATATTGATTTCCTTAATACCAATCCCGTAAATGTTAATGGTCACCAGATAAGCCTCAATGTCAACATATCCTTTCCATAAGTATAACACTAACCCGAATATCAATGTTACCTGCTTCAGGTAAATTTCAACGTTAGTAATTTCCGCCGTTCTCCTTGAGTAGTCGTAACTTTCTGTGATGTCATTTTAGTCCTTCTGCTCTACTCACGGAGAACGGCGAAAATTACTAACGTTGAAATTTGTCTGTTGCAGGTAATATTGATATTCGGGTTCGTGTTATACTTATGGAAAGGATATGTTGACATAATTACTTGCATTATTTAAAACATTTATGAAGGTTTTTCGGTGACCTTTAAATCATTTTTTGGAAAAGGGCCTTATTTTTTTAGAGTGGTCAAATGGTCAAAAGTGCATGCTATAAAAATCATAATGTTGTCATCTATGCAAGATGTGAGTTAACATGTTAGTCCCACAATGAGTTTCATATTTTATGGAAGACCATCACATCCATATTTTATGGAAGAACATCACATCTATATATTATGGAAGATCATCACATTATAGAAAGAACACATCCAGACCATAACTTATTTTGTTTTACCTAATAATAGTTGGAACCCATCCAGACCATAATTTACCTAATAAAAGTGGGAATCCATTCAAACCATAATTTACCTGATAATAGTTGGAACCCATCCAGACCATAATTTTTTCATCATGGATGACTGACACATGTCATTCTGTAAAACCACACCTAAACAGAAATAACATGAAATGGGGTTTAATAACGTCCTAATGTTCTGCTACAACTGAGCTAATGAAGACGGACATACGCCATGCTGTCTGCTCTGAGGGAAATCTGCCGAACAGCAGCACTGCGGCCTACTCTTATATCGAATTCCACTGTCAGCCTTTTTTGTATGTGTATGCCAATGTGTACTTGGCGTACACTCCAATAGCTATATCGTCTTTAAAAACTTTTATTATACCAAATCTTTTCCCTCCTGTGCAGACGACATACACACAAACAGTTATACATGTAAACAAAACAGTTGACAAGGATTAACATACGGGACCCGAGTTTTTCGTCCCATCCGAACGACTCTACAATGTCCCTTACCAGACCTTCTGTCCTGCACCACTGACAAGCAGAAACTACCCTAATTAAGACCTATTGGTATTTGAGCAAGCGCCTTACTCAATTCCATGGCTCCCCTTTTGACTCTACATGTTGCTGCACTGAAACTGGATGAACTGTGGTTTAACATCCTAGGTCCTTCTCTTATATCGAATTCTGTCAAGGGATATTTTACGTGCACGCCAATGTGTACACGGAACCTCATTTTTTCATACCATACGAACAACTAGACAGCTGTCCTTGTCAGGTCCTCCACCACTGACAAGAGTAAACAAGGATGGAAAATCTGAGGAAATATCTCTACTAACACCGGAGCCTAGTGAGCCAGTGTCTTATTGACTGAACCAACTGAGCACATATGCGTTGAAGTTCCGATAGGGTTAAAAAAAAGTTCCCCACTCGATTTCTTTTTTATCGGAGACTTGGCAATTTATCTAATACCAAAATAGAAAAAATAAAAATTTTCATTGAGCCCTTTCTATAAAAACAGTAAATATTCATTTTTTCAATGTGACTTATCGAATCAATCCAGTATTTCAGATATAACAATCCGTAGAGCAAGTCCTGTCAGTTCGCAGTTTATGTATGCCTTGAACAATATGTTACAACACATTTTAACAGTTTTTTTAGCGTATTCCGGATGTCTCATGTCGCGCTTATACCCCCCACTTTCCCACGATTTGCTGAAATCAGAGTGAACAGACTCTGATGCCTGCTCACTCCAAAATCCGAGCCCGCGATTGAAGGATTGCCTCTCCGTAGCTGGTAATCGACTCTGGTTCTGATCATACAACTCCTTCTGTGTTTCCAGACATTGAAAAAATGAATATTTACTGTTTTTATAGAAAGGGCTCAATGAAAATTTTTATTTTTTCTATTTTGGTATTAGATAAATTGCCAAGTCTCCGATAAAAAAGAAATCGAGTGGGGAATTTTTTTTTAACCCTATCGGAACTTCAACGCATATGTGTGAGGTAAAGAAGTTGTATCACGATTAACCTGGTATTGAATCACGAGACACTGAATCAATGTATGGTCTTTTTTTTCTGGCTTCAGTAAGTAACCCATCACTCTTAATTATCCATGTCATACAGTATCCATGTCATACAGTATCCATGTCATACAGTATCCATGGGTACATCTGTACATCAATATCATGATATAAAACAGTTTTATTTCTTCGACAATGTTAGGACTATCAAATATTCATTTATCCTGTTGTTTTCTTGGTAAATTGGCCTATTGACCTGATTACGAATCGTGATACCAATTGTATCATAGCACCTGAATCGCAATACGTAACATATCGAGACTGCAATAAAAATACCCAGCACTACTTAACTGACCTTGAACACCTAGTGGTGGCATCTTGACAAGGATTGTTCCCCCTGTTTCAGCACTCAAACAAAATAATGCCTCTCCGTTACTGTCTACGTATGTAGCTGCTGTGGTGAGATGTGTTGTTATGGTACTGCTTGGATTGAGTAGAAACATGTTTCTGGAGTCTGTGGTGTTGACGAATGAAACATCGTAAAATATTGATGGAGATGGCGCATTGGTCAAAAAACAAGAATCCTGAAAATATTAAACATACATTATGCAAGAGCTAAATCTGCCTATTGCAGGTCTTTCTTTAAGCCGTAAATGTTATCTAAATTATTAATTAGACATTAATTAACTTATCCAAATGATAATCAACTCGTTAGAGCATTCACAAGGGTCTACAAAATGAAACAAGGGTCACAACTCAAGAAGTAATTAACGAAACATGATGAAATTCAATAGGCTTCGTTGTCTCACAAATGTTAACAACGACTGGATGATAAATGTAGTCTGTAGATAGAGTGAGAGAGAGAGAGAAATGGGGTTAAACGTCCACTGAACACAAACTTGGTCATTTCGGGACTAACATATGGTTCAATTTTATTTCAATAAGGGCTCTTTAGCAGTTGGAGGAAATAGGAGGACCTGGAGAAAACCCACGAGGTAGGACAGGTGACCCTACTCCTTGTCACGTACAACCGGGGAATCAAATTCACACCAGTTGACTCAATGAAGTCTGTAGAGTGTTCAGAGGAAACCGTGGATGACGAACGGAATCGATAGCAATATATAATAGCCCGTTCAGACGCTTAAGTTGAACTGGTTTAAAAACCCCAGGGATCAATAAACCAGTTTAACTTAAGCGTCTGAACGCAAATGTGGGGAAAATAAACCAGTTTAAAAACCCCAGCTCGCGACATGTCTTCGAGAAGGCTTTTTATTTTAAACTGGTTCATCTTGGCCGTCTTAACGGGTTGGCTTAAAAACCCCGGCTCCAGCTTGCATTGAGCATGTGCAGTAGGCAGTAAGTTGCATTCACGTGAATATATCGGGGTCAGGCAGTGCCAATTTTATCTAAAGCGTGCGAGAACCGACTATAAAGAATATAAAGCTACCCGTGCTTATTTAACTCCGACCGAAGAGGTCAGAATAGTTAAACTGGTTTGGCTTATAGTATGTGTGAACACAACACGATGTTGGCTTAAAAGCCCCGGCGATTATGAACTGGTTTCAAAATAAGCGTCTCAACGGGCTATAAGAACGCATTTCCATGTGGGCTTAAAAACAATGGACATCAACTTTACAATGTGTAAAAACTAACCTGTTTGTTGATCTTATCTGGATGAGGAAATACAAGTCTGTGTACACTGGCCACCGTAGCAACCAGAATAACAACATGGTTGTCAATCTCATGAACGGTGATGCCATCTAGGATGGGTGTAGAATGGAACCGATAACGAACATAGTTTCCTGATAAATTAACATCGAGAGATTCTTCCACCAGTTCCAATATATCATCATGTGATCTCCTGTAAACAAAACAGACAGACCATATTTAGAAGATTGCTTGTAGCCCCTCTTCGCACCCAGCTGACCCAGTTAGTTATAACTGAACTATCTGATACATGTAGCAATTACAAAATGATTGTTGATTTTCTCAGTAGATTAATTAAGGTATATTGCATGTCCAGTCCGAATGACTAAGCAGACTACTGTCAGACTCGCAGTTGACACCCCCAACTAATGAAGATATCTATACGCACTGCAGAGTGCTTTTAATGGAAATTTTGCCTGGCCTATTCTTCAACAATTCTAACTGACAAAGGATCTTTAACGTTGCAATTAAAGTAGAAGCAGCACATTATTGCCTTACATGTCTATGACCTATAAAATTTACCAAACTACATCATTGCTTGAGTTCAGGTATTCTATACATTCATTATTATACAGGCTAATCCAAAAATAAAATGACAAGACGGTGTAGACTGAAATACCTTACCAATAAATAAATCTATTTCTAACGGATGTGTCTGTAGAACCGCTAGCTTCGTAGGTATAACCACCACAGCTTTCCCCAACTTTTATATCCTGTAGTGTACTTGTTGATGCACCTGAAAGATAAGTCAGAATATATAGGCCTGAATATATATCTTTACTAAACAATAATGTAGAGCGAAGCTCTAAAGCCGCACAGTGTCTGAGCAAGGCTCTTCTGGTAACACAGGAGCGTAACTAAACTGTTACCCACATACTGTTGATTAAAAAAAAATTCAGACCGGAACCAGATAAACTGGGAAAAACAGGCAATCTGCATGCCAACTTACCAAATCTCGCCCAAGCGAGAATATGCATCTCATAGAATTATTTCTATGATAGGCCTACATCTAATAGATGACGTCACATATTTTTGACGTTAATGAAAATAATTTTCACACTCTTTTGATCTTTTCAGTTAAAACAAAATTAATCATACAATTTAGATCTAAATTAAAGGAGCTAAATTGCTAACATTTGGGATCTAGAAATTGACAAAAGTGGGTCGCAACGCATATAATACTGTAATATGAATGTATATAAACTGATTTACATTCAATGGTTTCCGTTTTTACTCCCATTTCAAATCAGTTATGTTCGGCGAAATAAGCCAGCAGTCTCAGGCAAATTTCTAGCATCTGGTTATTCCAGTATACATACGCCGTTTGATTTGGTGCAATGTGTCTAGCTTCGTCCCTCAAGTCTCTTGATACAACTGGGGCTGAAGTGCATTATGGTACACGATTCGTGTACCAATGGTAAAATGTTTATTTTGTCTTAAATATTGGATATCAAAAGCCCATCTTTTTCCTGTAAGATCACAACATGAATGTTGATTTAATTTGACAAATAAATCATGTTTTCAATGTTGAAGATTTTGGATGATATTGAGTTAGAGACATAGCTACTTTAAAATCAATTCAGAAAAACAAAATTATTTAACATTATTTTATCATTTTAAAAACTTAATTATAAAGGTTTTATATTTGACAACAATCACATCAGCTTCGCTCTACTCAGGCAATGTCTGTTACATAATAAATAATCAGTACATCTAGGTATCTTTTTTAAAGACAAATTAATGTCTTGTAAAATATATTGTTTATGCAATATTATGCAATACTGGTATACGGTATTAATCTTATTTTGTGCTTTTTGACCAAATTATATCTCTTTTTTTTTGACTAAATTATGTCTGTTTTCAGCAAAGTAAATTTTATCCGTTTTGGTTTAGGGCACCCTGGAGTAGGTGTAGCTGGGATGTAAATGTGTGGAGTGTTGAGTGACTGTTTTCTACGAGCAACTAGCTAGACTGTCTTGTTTGCATGCAAAGTTTAATCATGTTCACTTCCATCCGAAGTGATAATCAATGCAGATAATTCTCTCAAACTGACTTAAGCATGGGGAATTTCCTGGAATCCTGGATTTTATTCCCAAAAGGAGCATCAAATTGTTTAGGTTATAGAATCGATCCACGACTCGGATTTGCAATTGTTTGTGATGAGTTCAAATTAAAGGAGCTAAATCGCTAATATTTGGGACCTACAAATTGACACAAATGGGCCGCAACGTATAATTATAATAATGTAATATGAATGTATATAAACTTATTTACATTCAGTCGTTTCCATATTTACTCTAATTTCAAAGCAGTTATGTTCGGCGAAATACGCCAGAAGTCTCAATCAAATGGCAATCTCTAGCGCCCGTTTATTCCAGTCTACACTGATAGTATTTATTGCACATGCTCTCCAGATAAGAATATGGGGTCACCGTTTGACATGACTTGTGGAATATGTCTAACCTCGTTCTTCCGAGTCGCTTGTTGCAAATTGCGCTGAAACGCACCATGGTACACGATTCGTGTACCAATCGTAAAATGTTTATTTTGTCATAAATATTGAATATCAGAAGCCCATCTTTTCCCTTTAAGATCACAACACCAATGTTTATTAAAATTGACAAATAATTCGTGTTTTCATTGTCGAAGGTTTTGGATGATATTGAGTTAGAGACTTAGCTACTTTAATAGGGGTGATGATTTTCCGTGATCGCGGAAAAAACGCGGAAATCGCGGAATTGTCCACTCAAAACGGAATTTGAAATCTCACACGGAAAAAGACGGAAAAGCCGATATTTGCTGATACTAAACACAAACTCAAAATAATTTTGCAGTTATCCAAGTATTTCATCTTTGTATTCATAAAAATCGGAAATATTGAATGATATCGCGTGGTTTTGTTACTGTCTATTTTAGTATTTCGCTACTTTCATTTCATCATTTAGGAATCATAATTTTAAACGAAACAAAAACCCGTCTTTCATGTATCCCATTATAAAATTACTCTGTAGTTTAACTTGAATTAAACATTGTAATGTATATATATGTCTTTAAAAAATCTTCTGTCACTTCATAAAAGTAAAAATCGTTTCATTTACTTCTTATTTTACTGCCGGGCTCGTGACTCGTGTTTATCCGCATTAACCACGTGACATCAGAAATATACCGTAGCCTTGTGAATCCAGCCCTTATTCTCGAAGAAACGGTAGTAACTACGAAGATGTCTGGATAAATCGCGACTACACCTAGCAGCTGAGAAAAATGGCTTCGTCTGCTAAAAAGATGAAACGAGCTCACAAGATGTAATTTTGTTATTTAATTCGGGAAACAGGTTTAAAGAATAACTAGTCATTGAACATTACAAGTCATTCACAATTCAACATTTGTTATCATTGGTTTAAAATGATCCGTTTTGTAATAAAAGGCATTTTAAGATGTTTTATTCATTTATTCATAAAATAACATTTTATCTCGAAAAAACGGAATATGGTCAGCTCTGAAACGGAAAATAACGGAATTAAAAATACTTAAAACGGAATTTGCTATTTTCTGAAACGGAAAATCATCACCCCTACTTTAACATGTTTTCTGAAAGTGAAAGTTCAAGTTGTATTCAGTCACAGGGTTATCTGTTTTGGGTCTACGGGTTATACCTTTTAGTTTTAGTATGCCCGATTATTATAGTGTTTCTAAAGAATGACATATTTATTGTGAAATAAACCAACCGGTATTAACAACAATTTCTTTCCATCTTGTTGGTGAACAAGTGGAGAGACAAACTTCACTGAACAAACCACTCAATCTTTCCGCCATTTTCGGCTTTCTTTATACTCTCTAATCAAAATGCCGTATCGAAGAACACCTGTTTGTCATCAATTATGTTGCATTTAATAGATATCAAAGGTCAATTACACAATAATGGTGTAAAATTCAATGTAAACAAGTCACTTTTTGTCTCATTTCGGGTTTTACGAGGATGTATTTTTAAAGCAAATTTGTTGGAGAGTTATTCAGTTAGGCAATACCAAATTTAATCTCAAAAGATAAAACGAAAGAACTAAGAAATCATATCTAACCAAATTCCCTTAGTTTGATCCTAGATGCAGGTTGTAACCTCAAAAGTAGGTTTGTTAATATAACATTTGACATTTATGATAGATACAATAAATAAATGTAAATTTTCAATATTTTGTTCATATATTTTCAAATACACAAATTTTGTAAAACCCAGCGTGGCTTCGTATTTCCGCTTCCTGTCGGAGGAGATTCGTTTGTTATTTTACTGAGAAAGAATTGATATTTATTTTCTCGTGGTTTATGTGTGACACATCGTGTTTATTTTGACGTAAATATGCCGAAGTAAGTATTGAACAATGCAGCCCGTTAATAGGTCACTAGCTGCTCAGCTAAAATAAGAATTTATGGAAGTAATTTACATCGAACGAATGAAATTCATCTACTGTGTCAGTGTGTGAACCATCGGCATCGTAAATTTTAAACGGATTTCTTCGATTATGAACAAACTACTTAACTTTGGTTATTATAAACTTACCTGTGTGTTTGTAATGAACTCCCGTTCGATAAAATCCATTGCACAACTAATTATCACAACGATGAAAACAAGTTCTCTCTTGAAAAATTGAAATATCACAAACTTTTCCCAGAGAAAAATACCAATATGGAAGATGGTTACGTCACTCTGCGGAAGATATCATTTCGTATTAGGGGTGACAGCATAGGAAATTCAAGTACAATTACGACAAGAATCCATGACCACTCGGACCAAAGACCACTCGGTTCAAGACCAGTCAGACCAACTGATAGACCACTCAGCTCAAACAAATAGACTACTCGGACCATACAAAAAGACTATTCGGACCCAACAGAAAGACGACTCGGACCAATAATAAAGTGTTGTTTTAATAAATTGATAATTGCGTTTGTTTTAATATGATTACTCGAACCAATAATAAAGTGTTATTTTAATAAATTGATAATTGTTTTTATTTTAATATGACTACTCGAACCAATAATAAAGTGTTATTTGAATAAATTGCTAATTGTGTGTGTTTTAATATGACTACTCGAACCAATAATAAAGTGTTATTTTAATAAATTGATAATTGTTTTTATTTTAATATGACTACTCGAACCAATAATAAAGTGTTATTTGAATAAATTGCTAATTGTGTGTGTTTTAATATGACTACTCGAACTAATAATAACGTGTTGTTTGAATAAATTGATAATTGTATTCCAAATCGCAAAATATCGAGAACCACACTTGTAGTCACGTTTAAGACAAGAACAGTATACCCGTATATGTAGAAACTGTCAAAAGTCTGGACATACCGAGTCTCATTGCAAGAGTAAAGAAAAATTAGATTGATATTTTTTTTTGGCACCATTATTAATTAATTTTAAAACTAATCGTTGATTTATTTTCCGTACACAAAATTGAACTAAACAACTCTAAATATAAGAATTCCGTATAAGAATTATTTGCTTCTTTGTATTGTGATTTAATAATAAATAAATAGCATATTGTCTAGCCTTATAATATAATTTAATTGGTCCGACTGGTCTTGTTTTGGTCCGACTGGTCTTAGTCCGAGTAGTCTTTGGTCCGAGTGGTCTGGATACCTACGACAATTGGCATTGAGTTTGAGCGTTCGCACACATAACTACCCGCATTCCTGTATTTAGTTACCGTCTTTTACATTCTAGTAAAATCTCTGCAAATTTTATAGCTTTACTTTTTGAAATATTTTGTTCTAATTATTTGATTAGCGACTCGGATGGGATTATTTACTTTTGAACACGCATGCCGCACAAACACAACTATACATTCGTTTTACGGGCTTTATCACACTTCGGTCAAAATGGAACCCATTTAAATAGATCTAATCATATTGCACGCAGCGATCCATCTACGTCATACTTCGAGAATATGATCCCTGCCCTAAATGGGGTCCATTTAAAACGATCACATGATCATGATCATTTTGAGACAGGACTTATCGACTGGACTACGGCTTTGTATACGCAGCACAGTAAAAATAACCCTCGAAGCACGTGTTTTATGTAAACACATGTCAGGTTGGCAAAATGTCAACTTCTGCTACTCCGGTAAAAGCGATATATATTATGTGCTAGTGGGCAATACAGCCTTTACCATTGTAAACTATCTTTAGAGTTTCAATCTGTTTATCTTTCAAAACAAGGTTAGATACTCCTAAATTTGTCTTCGCAAACAAAACCGCACTGCCATATTGAATAATTAGAGGACTATTATTGTGATTCGGCTCTGATCAGTTTGACATCTTTCATACACACAATGGCTAAATAAACATATTTAATTTCATTCAATATGACAATAGAAGAGAAATAAATACTTCTAAAAATTTCTAAAAGCATACTCAGTGTTTTTGACTAAAATCGTCGATGTAGGAATTAAAATGTCGTTAATTAGGTTAGGGCCTGTTCACAGACACCCTAAGTTTAGGATGAGATCTAATGTGACAACAGGCATTGCCTGAGCGAGTAGAGCGAAGCGGATGTGATTGTTTTTAAATATAAACATTTATAATTAAGTTTCTCAAGTGATAAAAATAATGTTAAATAATTCATTTTTCCAAATTGATTTTAATTTAGATCTAAATTGTATGATTAATTTTGTTTTAACAAAAAAAAGTGTGAGAATTGTTTCATTGACGTCAAAAATATGTGACATCATTGATTACATGCATCATAGAAATATTTCTATAAGATGCGTAATCTTGCTTTGGCGAGATTTGGTAAGTTGGCATGTGCATTACCAGTTTTGCCCAGTGTATCCGGTTCCGGTCTGATTGGTTTTTTTTAATCAACAGCCTGTGGGTAACAGCGATACTTTTGAGCTTTGCTCTATATCAATCGGTATCATCAAAACCGTCGTAAATTTTAAACAGATTTTTTCGATTGTGAACAAACTACTTTAAGTTGCCATTTCATATTTTTAAGTTATATTTTTAAATTTATTAAAATAAAGTCTTGAAATAGATGTTATCTATAAACAGTCCTACCTTGTTAAAGATTAATCCTATAATTCACTGTTGCCAGTTGAGAAATTGGCAAAAATATCATTTTTATCTTCAAATTCAAACGTTTGAAGATAACTACTCCATGGTGGAGAATAGAAAACAAGGGAGGTAATTGTGTTATTATTTCCGGTGTAAATGACACCTATGATCGTATAATAGTGAGTTGACAACCTATTGAGCAAAAGACATAGAAATAATTATGTTTTGACTTTCTTAGAAAATATGAAATTGTAACTTTAAAGATACATTCCCGCGTACAAACTGAATCATTTGTCGATGTATTTGGACTAAAAACAGTTTCAAACTAATTAATCCATTAAAATTTTTGTTCAAATCCTTCTCAAAACATTGTATTAACAAGGGAATACCCCTGCTATGAAAATAATAAATAGGGTGTGGGTCAGTTCATCCCACGACTGTTTCACCACAGGCTGTTTCATCCCAACCTATTTTTTTATTGGTCTGTTTCATCCTGGGCTGTTTCAACCCCCTTTCATCTAGTTTATCAACTTATACATCTAGTGCTCACTGACGCTGAGAAATCAGACAATCTTTGCATGCAACCTTTGACGTCATTCGAGCGACCTATCGCTACAACCAGTCAGATCTTCATGTAGTGTACTGTAGGCCATCGAAAGTGTAAAAAAACGAAACGAAATATAGGTCTGTATTTTAATCAAATCGTATCAGATCTGGATACAGACTTACATGTATTAAACACACCTTAAAGTATGATACATATTTATTTATACTGCAAATCCTCACAAAAACATTATCAGAACTTGGTGATGTTAAATGAGCTAAATCGCTAACATTTGGGACCTAGAAATTGACAAAAGTAGGCCGCAACACATATAATACTGTAGTATGAATGTATATAAACTGATTACATTCAATGGTTTCCGTTTTTACTCTAATTTCAAATCAGTTATGTTCGGCGAAATAAGCCAGCAGTCTCAAGCGAGTGCAAATTTCTAGCGTCTGGTTATTCCAGTCTACATACGCCGTTTGATTTGATGCAATGTGTCTAGCTTCGTCCCTCAAGTCTCTTGATACAACTGGGGCTGAAGCGCATTATGGTACACGATTCGTGTACCAATGGTAAAATGTTTATTTTGTCTAAAATATTTTGGATATCAAAAGCCCATCTTTTTCTGGTAAGATCACAGCATGAATGTTGATTTAATTTGACAAATAAATCGTGTTTTCAATGTTGAAGATTTTGGATGATATTGAGTTAGAGACTTAGCTACTTTAAGTACTTTATAAAACTAGGTTCCCACTATGACGATTCGTGCTACAATTGAAATCGTGGTTTTAATCGTGAAGTAATCGTGATCCTTTCAGGTCTTATCATATATTGAGGTCAGTTGTAGCAATCGTGACTATCGTATCAAAATGTATCCGAGAGTATTGGCACGTACTAGATCGTGGACTAGATAGGGACAATACTATCGTAATGCATCACACTTTAGTGGTAAAGCAGAATTTCATGCTCGTAATCACCTAAAATGGGGTCTGAAACCTAAGATAACCAGTTTAAATGTTATGTGTTGTTATGATCAATTTCAGGTATTACTAGGTGGGTTGGGTGGCCACATGGTTAATGCATGTGCATTGTATCATAAGGTCTGTCATTGAGTCAAGGAGTAGGGTTGCCTGTCCAACCTTGTGGGTTTTCTCCAAGTCCTCCTGTTTGCTCCCACTGCTAAAGACCCCTATGCGGGCGCGAATTATTGAAATAAAATTGAACCGTGTTTTAGTCCCGGAATGACCTTGTTTGTGTTGAGTTGATGTTAAACCCCATTTCTCTCTCTCTCTTTCAGGTATTACTGTGACTATTGTGATACCTACCTCACTCATGATTCTGTAAGTATACATCTATTTTTAGATTTACATCCGGCAACACATGATTTTATGAAAGAACTGGGCCGGAGTTCACAAGTCATTCTCAGGCTGAAGTTAAGAATTACCGGCCATAAAACTAGTTTATTTAATTAAATAGCATTTTATACAAACACGCTTTAATTGAATAACAACCTTTATGATAATTGGTCAGCACGTGAGGAAATATGGGACAAGCGATTTTCATTTCAAACACACACGTTTGTTGGGGGGGTTTTCACACGAGACGCAACCGGTGAGAAATGTTGGCCGCTTATTTCATGATGAGAGCTAATGGATTCACGTAACATCCAGTTGTGCCCCTTATTTTAACTCTTCAGTTCTTTCGTTTTCTCTGTTTCTAAGTCAAATACGTACTTTCCCTTAATAAAATTTATTATTTTATTAAGAAATTTGCGAAGAAATGTCTGAAGGGAGATTTTTAATTTCCCCAGTGCGAAGAAATCACTGCGAGAAATAAACTGTTACGGCGAACTGAAGAATTCGTTTGATGTGATCAAAGGGAAATAACTACATTTTACTCGGTATTATTTAGGTCATCAGCGACAAAGATATGGCGAGCCCGAGCGGTGGCGGGTTCTGTCTTCCAAACGAAGTGGATTGATCGAGTTTCTTTCTACACCTTGGTTTCGCTACGGAATGCTAGTATTATTTTATTGTCAAATGTCAAATAAATGAAAAAAAAAATTCTACATGTATACAGAATGATATCACAGCATAAACTCGCATATAATTCGTGTACAAATTATGATTGTTTTCAAACCAATTCAACAATTGTAAGTCAAAATAATTTGCCGATATTATCGATTATCGATCGGCGGATAGTCCGCGATAATCGATACTTGAAACAGGATCGATTGCCAGCCCTAGTTGGAGCAGAACAATACAACGTTAAACCCCATTTTATTTCATTTCAATTACATCTATTAACATTTGTGTAATATCCAGATGAAGATTACAAGATTATTTTAATATATTTTCAGCCATCTGTAAGAAAAACCCACTGTAATGGTAGAAAACATAAAGAAAATGTCAGATTATTTTATCAAAAATGGCTCGAAGAACAAGTACAGAAACTCGTAGATGACACAAGTAAGTTCATTTTAATGCCAATCTAGTACTTTTCTACTAAGATGACATATCTCTACTTTCCATATAAAATATGCCATACAATTATTGGAAATAACTATGCTACATGTACATGTATATAAATATTTTCTTGGGAATGCATCTTTAGAACAGATCTAATTTGTCACAGCGATATCTATGCTAAAATGTAGTCACAGCAATATCTACGCTAAAATTTAGTCAAATTGATTATTTAACATTTAATTAACTAACCTAAAAATATTAACAATAGATTATCTCCATGCTTTGATTCAATCAGATTATAAAAATGACCCTTCGAAAGATAAAAGGTGAAGCTGTCTTAATTTGACCATGTCACATGTATATTGTCTGTAAAGGTTGAGGAGTTTTGAGAAAAATTTAAATACTCAATGCAATTTAACTATTTTTGGACTGACATTCATTTAAGAAATTCATTAAGGCCCCTGTGCATGAGTAAAATATTGAAATAAATTCTCTCATCTTGCATTGCACTACATGTATAGAAATTATAAAATCACCATATTTTGTCTCAAAAAGAACGAAGGATTCTATGTACCAGCCATTAAACCCCCTGTTTCATCTAGAATGACAGGAGACAGTAGTTTTTGGAATGGACTTTTGTTATTTCCAATGATGATAATAATAAATGTTCATTTCTATAGCGTCAAAAATCCAGCAATAAAAGTGCTCAGTTCGTAATGATTATGTGTATCTTACTTACAACATGTATTTTTGTAAATAAATGTTGTTGTTTTTTTGTTTTTTTTAGCTGCTGCATTTAAAGCAGGTAAAATTGCCAATAACCCGTTCCAGTCTGGTCAACCTGGACCAAATGGAGCCATGATACCACCACCTGCAGCACTCGGTGAGTTGTACTCGTAATTACACTAGCCAAAGACTCAGAATATTGTTAATTTTGTCAGTTGTTTCATAGCAACCATTTTCCAAACAAAAGAGTATATTGAACAGATTGTGTAGCATTATAATGAAGCACAAATATAATACATTGATTCTAAATGTGTTTGTGTGATCTTAAAAGTTGCGGCCATAACTGAAAAAATGATCTTAAAAGATGTGTCCGTAACTGAAAAAAACGTATAATTGCTGGTTTACACACAAAACAATTATATGGAATAAAAGTTGCTTAGAAGTTTATTTTTGGCAATGTTTCGATGAGAGGGTTATCTCATCTATCAAGCAAAGATAAAGGCGAGAACCCTCGTCAAAAAGTCACCAGAAAAAACCCTCTAAGTAACTCGTATTACATATATTTGTGTCGTGTGTTATTCTCATCCAGTTACTAAATGCTGCTTAAACATACATTATGCAAAAGCCAAAACTGTCTATTGCAGGTCTTTAGGCCTAAAATGTTATCTAAATTATTAATTAACTTATCCAACCATAATCAACTCTTGATGCCATTGTTTACCTGCGATCTTTTGTGGATTTGAATACATTTTGTGATGGATAATTTAACATAAAACTGGATAATCAAGACATTGTTTATTATCATACCAACGTTAGTAATGATGATCGAGGCTAGCCTAAAATTGAATTGTTAATATCTTGGTTCAGAGTGAAGCAATTTGACAGAAATTTTTAGCATTTTCTGTCTTTATTATATATTTTTCAACTATTATTGCGAGAACTGTCAGCTCTTTATCTAATCTTACCTACCGGTAATTCCCCTTTAAACAGATGGGGCGAAAAACCGAGGTCCCGTGTACATATTGGCGTGCACGTAAAAGATCCCTTGGCAGTTGGAATTCGATATAAGAGTAGGCCGTAGCGCCGCTGCCCGGGCAAAATTTCCTTCATTGCACACTGTATGGCGTATGCATGTCTTCATTAGCCCAGTTTAGAAGCAGAACAGTTTGACGTTAAACCCCATTTCATTTCATTTCATTTCCCCTTGAAACAATTTCTAATTGCTGTAATTGGACTTAAAAGCCTAAGGCCTTGAATATCATTCTGTACCTTGTCCAGAAATCAGACATTTCAAAATATAAGTAAATAAAACGATTATATTAATTTTTCTTCTTCTCTGATTTTTAAATTATTTTTATATGTTTTTTTATTAGGCGGTAAGCCAGGTGGTCCAGGTGGTCCTGGGCCTAACATGCCGGGAGGTCCGATGCCTGGTGGTCCGATGCCTGGAGGTCCAATGGGTCCAGGTATGCCTATGATGGGACCTGGGGGCCCAATGGGTCCACCTATGATGGGTAAGTAATAAAGTTAAATTGAAACAAATTGTAAAAAATGTAAAACATGATTAATCTAGATTATGGAGCTACTGGGACAGATTGGGCACAGAGGTTAGAGAGTAGGATTTGTTATCAAACGGTTACTAGTTCGAGATTTGAATTGTGCCTTGAGTACTTTAACAAGACACTTCATCCCTGTATTCGAGCTTCTACCCAGCTACAACTGGGTACTGGCAAGATAGTGTATTCCTGTCAATGGGTACTGGTAATATAGTTTATTCCAGTCTACCCAGCTGTAAATGGGTAATATAGTGTATTCCATTCTACCCAGCTGTAAATGGGTACTGGTAATATAGTGTATTTCAGTGTACCCAGCTGTAAATGGGTACTGGTAAGATAGTTTATTCCAGCTTCTACCCAGTTATAACTGGGTACTGGCAAGATAGTGTATTCCTGTAAATTGGTACTGGTAATATAGTTTATTCCAGTCTACCCAGCTGTAAATGGGTACTGGTAAGATATTGTATTTCAGTCTACCCAGCTGTAAATGGGTAATATAGTGTATTCCAGTCTACCCAGCTGTTAATGGGTAATCTTAGGATGGTGTATACAATTACACCCAAAAAATTTGCACTATTTTTACTGAAGTGCTGTAAAGTTTAGTATCTAATCATACATGTAATTTATATATTTTTATTTTTCAGGTATGCGACCGCCCATGGGACCAATGGGACCAATGCCCCCAATGATGGTACATGGTGGTATGAGACCACCCATGGGGGGATCAGGTGGACCTCCTCCTAACAAGATGCCAAGGAAAAATTAACAAAAAGACTTGTATATTTATCGACTCACTGAGTAGTGTATGGTGTGTCTGGATTGAGCAAGACTACATATTTTCATGTGTTTTTGTTTCACTGAAAAGGACTGGATAATTAAGTCACACCACCACAACAAACGTGCGCAGAAACAAATCTTCAGATTATTTTGCTTTAAGAAAGATTGTTGTTTTGTTTAATGTTTAGATTGTAACAGATTCATCATTTGTTCTAGAAACAACGTAATCTCTAGTATTTGATACTAAAAATAGAATGTAAATAGATCGTCACACTGTCTGAATCTTCAGGTCAGTATCCACTGGACATGACAACCTACAACCACTCGTGGGGGATTGGATGGCTGAATGGTTAGCACGTGCGCGCTGTATCATAAAGCCTGTCATTGAGTCAACTGGCGTGGTTTCGAATCCCCGGTTGTACGTGACAATGAGGGTTTTCTCCGGATCCTCCAGTTATCCTCCCACTACTAAAGACCCCTACGCGCAAGTGAATTATTGAAATAAAATTGAACCATGTTAGTCCCGAAATGACCTAGTTTGTGTCGAGTGGACGTTAAACCCCATTTTTCTCTCTCTCTCTCTCTCTCTCTCTCTCTCTACATTGCCAGAAAATTTGATATAAGAGTAGTCCGTAGCACCGCTGTCCAGGCAAAATTTCCCTACTAGGACACTGCATGGCATATGCCCGTCTTCATTAGCCCAATCGAAACAGAACAGCAAGATATGGTGGCTGTTAGCGGCCATTCAAATGTCATCTAAATCGTCGCCTTATGAAGAAGGCGACAAGTCGACGAAATCAACCCGCTGACAATACAAAATAACCCGACGATCGTCGCCTTCATTTCATCGACTTGTCGGGTCAATTCTGTCGATTTGTCGCGTGAACTTATTCACAACCCGACAAAATACAATTATTTCGACTTCTGTGCGCATGCAAGTTATCCAATCAGCAAATGCGCAAGCTCGAGTTTGACTTCCGAGGCGACAAGTCGAAATAATTGTATTTTGTCGACTAGAGCATGCGCATTTGAATGGCCACTAACAGCCACCATAGCAAGACGTTAAACCCCATTTCATTTCTTGTATTCCTGAAATTCGAATCCTTCTAAATGCAGTACGATGAATATTTGCAGATTTTATGTAGACCTGTCACGATAGGGGTGGACAAAACAGACATTTATTTGTTGTTGCATCTGGTGGGATACTGGCCTTGAAACATACATCGGCTGCCATGACTCCATTAAAGGTTTTAAAATGGGTCTGCTCAGCTAGATAGTTGAGTGTCACTGATGAATTCCCGTCGACAAACGTCGCCCTTTAGGGTTTTGTGTCAGCTATAATTTTAAAATATGTCTGCTCTCTGGTATGAATTCACATCAACATGATGTCAGTCATTCTCTTTTAAAGCGTCAGCTCTGGTAAATAGTTGGGTGGTCAGATCTAAATATTAAGGCTACAAGATGTAAACGGGGCTAGCGCTAACCCTTACCCACAATCTTCGGCAACAATCACGTGCCCTAACCCTGTTTATATCTCGTGACCTGGACAAAATCTGCACTTGGACGTAATATTTAGATCTTACCATATTTGGGTGTCACTGATGAATCAAAGTGAAGTCACCCGAAGGTTAATGTAAGCCATCATGATTCATTTCATATTTTATTGATTTTATTTGTAAAATAAACGGAATTCATTTCATCATATTAAAACGTATCGTAATCTCTGGTATTTTTTTTAAATTGTCCCCAGCATTTCGTACTATTAAAATAGGTTGTTCATCTGTCCATAGAGTGATGTACAATGGGAAGGGGGCCAAATGATTAAGAGGTGTTCGTTACTTTATGAGGTCTGTCAATGGGTGGCAAGGTTTCAATTCCTTGCTTGTTGTATTTGACAAGGAGTAGGGTTTTCCCCTCCCCTCAAAGCTAATGACCTAGTTTGTGTCAGTGGGTGTTAAACCCTGTTTCTCTCTCTCTCTCTCAATTGGGACAACGGTGTATTAACCCAGCTCCCTATGGACTGTCTTTTTACCAGACGTAGCTCAAAGTATGGATCGGGCAACCTATATGTCCCCTCATTTTAAATTTTCACCCTACATAATGTGTTGGGAGCCACGATGGCTAAGTGAGTAAGACGCCGGCTCGCTAGCCTGGAGGTCGCGGGTTCACTCTCAATGTTGGCCGAGAAAGTTCATCAGGATTTTCTGGCATGGTTTCTCCTTGTCGGAGGTCCTTTGTACAAATTGGTGTGCATGCAAAAGATCCCTTGGAATTCGATATAAGAGTAGGCTACAGCGCCGCTGTCTGGGTAAAATGTCCCTCATAGCACACTGTATGGCGTATGCCCGTCTTTTTTCGTACACCCCCATTTCTTTTAATTTCTTTTTAGTGTATTTCGTGGTCTTAATATGGGTTTCACAGGTTTGGAAGGGTTGCAGGGGATGGGACAAAAATTTTCTTGCTGTGGCACATACAAATTCTCTCAGCGGCAATGGTGGCTTTCCGGGCAGACAAATATTCGCAGTTATGTTACTGTGGTTACTGGGAGCTTTTTACATTGCCACCCCAATTGTTTCCTGGTAGACCGGAGAAAGTTCAGGTCGGGTATTCAATCCCTGCATTGGCCAAGAAAGTGCATCCAGATTTTCTGGTGTGGTTTCCCCTTGTCTGTGATGCAAGACAGAGGTCCTGACAAGGACAGCTGTCTAGTCATTTGGATGGTATGAAAAACCGTGGTACTGTGTACACATTGGCATGCACGTAAAAGATCCCTTGACAGTTGGAATTCGATATAAGAGTAGACAAAGTGCTGCTGTTCAGGCAAAATTTCCCTCATAGTACATTGGATGGTGAACAGCTCTTCATTAGCCGAGTTCAGAGCAGAACAGTAGGACGTTAAACTCCATTTCATTTCGTTTCATTTTCCTTGGTACACTGCCTGCATGTTGTGATATTCTCCGTCAAAAAGGAAACAATGTTAGTATCAAGTAATAATTTGAAGAGCCCCGGGGAAGAACGATCTAAGTTACTTTTTCAATGAACCCCAATTAATGGCGCCATCTGGTAGCAAATTGTATAAGCTTTCTGTGGAACAATCAATTTCAGGTAAGAACGACCGGAGTCGCATCGAACCAAGGACCTTCTGAAATGGCCTCCCGGACAAATACGTCCATCGTACTCTTTATTTGACCATAATTTGGCTGAAAAGTGGAAGTCAGTTGTTGTACTGGTAATTATGATTCGTATTAAACATCATTTTGAAGTTGTAATTAAACCCACTCTTTTTCTGTTTTCGCGTCAAGCATTCTCGTCCAAAAGTCTGTTTTGTCTTTTATGCGAAAAGACAAAAATGTGACTTAGATCGTTCTTCCCCTGGCTTCATCATTTTATTTATCCACATAATTTAAATCAATGTTACAATCCTGTTTACATGTACCGCAGCACGCAGCTTGATTCTGGTTACAGTGTCCACAATTCATTTTGTCTCGGCCTTGACGACAATATCTATGGACGTTCTGATAGTTACCATAGCGACAACCTGTTAAAATAAAAGAAATAACAGAATTAAAAATAAACTAGTAGGTTTACATGTAATTTGCATGCATGTGTGACGTTTAGGCAACAGAGGACTGGTATGGCTGTATACATCAGATTCAAAATTCTAACGTGCTATCGTTACGCTGAACAAATTAAGAAATTGGATTATACATTGTCTAAATTTAGAAATTACATGAATAGAAGCTAAAACTTAGACGATAGCACAATAGAATATTGTCTTAATTTAGAAATTACATGAATAGAAATTAGACGATAGCAAATTAGAATTTTGAATCTAATATACCGCTATAGACTTGGCCCTGGGCAGTCAGAAAACTGATTAGCAGGAAATATTTGCTTCTTCGTTATTATCACTGTATTATTACTCGGGGCGAGTTCATTAGCTCCCAATATTAACTTTTTTTCTTCTGCAAATTAAATTCTAAAACAACTTTTAAAATTTATTGAGAAAAACAGAAATGTGTTGGAAGTACATTTGGATAAAAAAATATTTCCTATTTAGTGTAAATGGCTAAATAAAATAGTACGCGAAGGCGTAAAATGAGTAAAAGGCGTCAATTCTGACCGGATCAGTTTGTGTTAATACGTCTGATGTAAAGAACACGTGTGCTATTGAGGAAATCCCTCTCTGCCCATTGCTGGATTGACTTATACTTGAGCTTTTGAGGGAGTGTGTCTATTCTTCCTGTTCAAACAAATCTATCCCAAGTACAGCAACATGACAGCCCTTCGTTTAATCTGAGGTCTTCCCTAAAACTTTGGACAGTGATTTAAGGTATTAAAAACGGTGAAAGTATTGTTTGTCTCCAAAAAGTATTGTTTACGGTGTAGCCATTTGATAGCCTCGTTTGTCATGCAATTAGTTTTTCTGCAATATTCTGCCATGCACTGGTTAATTGTGCGTTATAAATTTCGTGATTCATATTTGGTTCAATTTGGAGCCGAATGATATTAGTACGCAGTTAGGGATTGGTTATAAATCGGACTAGAAGCGTAGACCAAAGTGCCACTACCCAGACAATATGTCCCCTTATAGTACACTGTATGGCGTATGCACGTTTTCGTGAGCTAGGACGTTATGCCCCATTTCATTTCATTTCCGTTCTTGGCGACTTACCGTGTATATAACCATAGTTTGTTTTCAATTCATCGGCAAGCTTTGCACACCACTGCGCGCACTTCCCTCCTGCGTTCAGATAACACATGTGTGCTCTTCGATATTTACAACCCCCTGTAATTGTAAAATTGTTTAAATGTCAGTTAAAATACATAGGGCACAGGGCTTTGAAATGCTATTACTGTATATGCCAAGGGTAGATTATTTATACTAGTTACAATTTTTGACCCGGATGACGTATTTCATTTCAAAGCACGTGCGAGTGTCTGTATTTTAAGTTGTTTAATGGTCTCGAGCTTAAAGGAGCTAAATCGGTAATATTTAGGACCTAAAAATTGATACTAATGCGTCGCAACGCATATAATAATTCATTTTATGATCAGTAGTGGAATACCGCATTTTATCAGTGAAATAAAAGTGTTATTTCACTGGCTAGTTGTTTTTACCTAAAATGATTGTAAAATCATAAAATAAATAGAACATTTGTCGTTTTGTCGTGAATAACATATTTTATTTCATCTCTAAGCAAGAAAACGTTTATATTTTCACTCATGCTATGCATTCGTGAAAATATAAGTTTTCTTGCTTCTCGATGAAATAAAATATGGTATTCACTCTAAAACGACAAATATCCTCTATGTAATGTGAATGTATATCAACTGATTTAAATTCAATCGTTTCTGTTTTTACTCTAATTTCTTATCAGTTATGTTCGGCAAAATACGCCAGAAGTCTCAATCGAATGGCAATCTCTAGCGTCTGGTTATTCCAGTCTACATCGATAGTATTTATTGCGCATGCTCTCCAGAAAAGAACATGGCGTCACAGGACTTGTGGAATATGCCTAGCCTCATTTTTCGAGTCCCTTATTACAAATGGCGCTAAAACGCATTAGAGTAGACGATTCGTGTACCAATTGTAAAATGTTTATTTTGTCTTTAAATATTGGATATCAGAAGGTCATCTTTTCCCGGTAAGATCACAATATCAATGTTGATTTAAACTGACAAATAATTCGGGTTTTCACTTTCGAAGATTTTGCATGATATTGAGTTAGATAGAGACTTAGCTACTTTGAGACATTGTGTAATATATTGAAATAACAACTCGTGACTGACGCCCCTCTTCTCGACCATTAAACCATACATATAGCATTGTGTAAGGATTATTCAGAGTACTCACCGATCAATTTAGGAGTGGGATCTCGGAGAGCCGAATGGACACCTGTAACAAATTAATAAACTGTTTATTCTGAACATATTAAATTTCAAAACAATCTTTTAAATGTCTGTCAACCTATGGTAATTTTTATTTCTATTTAATCCTTATATGATTATTTGCTTGATAACGATACCTGTATGTGTATCGAAACGTAGCATGTTAATAAATTCAGAAGTAGTATATCCATATAAGTGTTTTTAGTAAGTTATTGTCGGAGAATTCTGCCTAGGAAGCGACAGTCTGATTAAAATAGCCTACATTTCGTTTCGGTTTTTTTATACTTTCGATGAAGATCTGACCAGTTGTAGAGGAAGGTCGCGTCATACGAGCGGCTTTTTGACTCTATGATGTCAAACATTCGATTAACGGGCAAATCTCAGCTATATTTTGGAGAATAAAACTGCTTAATTTTGTGTTAAAAGCCCCTAAATTCCTCTACCTTAAAACCGAGCAACTAACTCAGTATACGTGATATGTTTTCAAACAAGTTAAAGCGGGAATTGCAAATTTTCTAAGAAAGTCAAAACGTAATTATTTCTATGTCTTTTGCTCAATAGGTTGTCAACTCACAATTATACGATCATAGGTGTCATTCTCACACTTAAAACTCATTTACACAGGAAATAATAACATAATTACCTCCCTTGTTTTCTGTTCTCCACTATGGAGTAGCTTTTTTCAAACGTTTGAAAATGAAGAGGAAAATGATATTTTTGCCAATTTCTCAGCTGGCAATAGTGAATTATAGGATTAATAGGATTATTCTTTAACAAGGTAGGACTGTTTATAGATACCATCTATTTTCAGGCTTTATTTTAATAAATTTTAAAAATATAACGTAAAAATTTGCAATTTCCGCTTTAAACCCGCCAGTCTTCATCTGAAAATGGAGACCGGTGTGCTGATCTCCCAGAGATTTTGGAAATTCTGTATGAAAATGTGTGAAATATAAATCTTCTGATTGTGGTTTGTACATATCGTGTATATAGTGTTTTTAGCCATCTTATAATTTAATCGTTCCTCTACTTTACTTTCTTTTTTTTTCTCTTTTATGTCTTTACAATATGTATGTACTTTTATGGAGGGAGGGGGGATCCCCTTGTCAGTGGTGCAGGACGGGGGCCTGACAAGGACAGCTGTCTAGTCCTTCGGATGAGACGAAAAACCGAGGTCCCGTGTATATATTGGAATGCACGTAAAAGATCCCCTGGCAGTTGGAATTCGATATAAGAGTAGGCGATAGTGCCGCTGCCCGGGCAAAATTTCCCTCATAGCACACTGTATGGCGTATGCCCGTCTTCATTAGCCCAGTATAGGAGCAGAACAGTAGGACGTTAAACCCCATTTCATTTTATTTATGGGGGGGGGGGGGGCTATAGGCTTCTGTATGTTGTCCAATTCACTTTCTATGAATAAATATTGTTTAGAAAAAAACAAATATTATACGGCGTCTAGACAAAACTAGACTTTTATTTTATAAAAATAACTGTGTAGGTGAAATTTATCTTTCGTTATCTTTCGTTATCAAGTACAGAATGACTAAAGATTATCAGGTCACCCGAAATCCGGTCGACTCAATATTTTGAGCTGAAATTTTGAGACACGGCAAATACACCATTCCTCTATATTTTGGCGCTTAAATTTCATACGTACACGAACTTTTATTTCTGAGACTCTGTTAAAAGGGTGATGGTCCCTTTAACCAATTAGCGTTGATGTTTCTAGAGAAGGACACCCACAGTCCCGTGCATGCCACGCCAAGAACTCACTGATACAGACCGTTTCATTGGCTTATCCCACACATCAACTAGAACTCGAGTTATATAACAACTATTCCACATCCTAGTGTAGTAAAGACAAGTAAATCGAAATTTTGAGCTATAAAAAACGAAAGGAAATAGGATCTGTGTTTTAATCAAATTGGGGAAGCAATGTTTCGGGCTACACTTGGTCTATTCTCACCAATATATATCTCGGAGTTTTGTACTTCACTTCCTAGCAATTGAAGGCCGAATTTGAAAAAGACCAAAGGTTCTTCTCGATTTGCCCAGACATTATAGTCGATAGTCAAACTCCCTGACCGCTCGACTCACTCCAGGATTCTAGCCCCGGATTTTAAAGTCGTTTGTAACATGAATGGGAAATCTTCCTTTGTTCTTTTCGGTGAATAAGCAGATTGTTTTCCCTCTAGTAGATTGGGTGGAGCTTAACCGTGCAATAACTAGACATGTTCAATGTTATTGCACAGTTTAGCTGGTTTACACTAGTTTTAGTAGAAATCATACAGAGAAGTGGGGTGGTTTATCATCCCAAACTTAGGCTGCCTATCTACAGCTAGCTCCGGCTGAGAATAGGCCCTAAGCTAATTAACCGACATTTTAATTCCTACATCGACGATTTTAGTATTTATTTCTCTTCTATTGTCATATTGAATGAAATTAAATATGTTTATTTAGCCGCTGTGTGTATGAAAGATGTCAAACTAATCAAAGCCGAATCACAAAATAGTCCTCTAATTATTCAATATGGCGGCGCCCATGAAACATAATTTCACAGAGGCGGTTTTGTTTGCGAAAACAAATTTAGGAGGATCTAACCTTGTTTTGAAAGATAAGCAGATTGAAACTCTAAAGACAGTTTACAATGGTAAAGAATTTATTGCAATATTACCCATAGCACATATTATATATCGCTTTTACGCGAGTGTCAGCGACATGGCGTGTTTACATAAAACACACGTGCGTGGGTTATTTTTACTCTGTTGTCTAAACAAATCGGTGTTTAGTCGATAAGTCCCGCCCCAAAATGATCACGTGGGCGTTTTAAATGGCGGTTAATCGGGACAGTGTCACATTCTGGGAAGTATGACGTAGATGGGTCGCTGCGTGCAGTATGGTGGTTTATCTGTGCAATAACAATAAACATGTTGAGCAGTTGTCAATGTTACAAGTCATTTATAGCACGCTTCATTCGTTAACACATTCGTTAACAGGTTTAACGCCTCGGTCTTCGGCCTCTGGTTAAACCTGTTAACTCATGAAAGCCGTGCTATAAATATAACTTGACAAACTGTCGTCTCCGACGTTCACTTACCACTACGGTCGGGGGTAGCGAGGAAATGGTCGGATGCAAGGTAGACCGGCCTAAGTTAGTGTTGGCTCGTTGTTCGTCATTCGCGAATCCCGAATTACGAGCTGGTTTGTTATTCGTTACTCGAATCGAGAATAACGTGCCAGCTTCACGTTGCCTGTAATGAGTAACGTAGTAGTATTTAACTTAAAAGGACTGGCTGAAAAGTTCTGAAGCTGATCAGATACATCAATTGGGCTGAAACAAACTTTTGCCACCAACATGTGCAATCGTTGACATTAAAACCGCAAGTGTAGAGTTATTATTGTCTTTGTACCAGACCATCTTGTGGGGATCACGTGGCTAAGTGGGTAAGACGCTAGCTCGCTAGCCTGGAGGTCGGGTGTTCGATCCCTGCATTGGCCGAGAAAGTTCATCCAGATTTTCCGGCGTGGTTCTCCCTTGTCAGTGATGCAGGACGGAGGGGCTGACAAGGAAAGCTGTCTAGTCGTTCGGATGGGCCGAAAAACCGAGGTCCCGTGTACACATTGGCGTGCACGTAAAAGATCCCTTGGCAGTTGGAATTCGATATAAGAGTAGGCCGTAGTGCCGCTGTCCGGGCAAAATTTCCCTCATAGCACACTGTATGGCGTATGCCCGTCTTCATTAGCCCAGGTTAGGAGCAGAACAGTAGGACGTTAAACCCCATTTCATTTCATTTCATTTTTCCAGACCATCTTGTGAACCCACCCATTGAAATCACCAGAAATAGACTGAACTAGCTAAAGAGCAGTTATCAACCCAGATACATGCCGACATGGTCTCCATCGACTTTGTACAGGTCTTTCAAAGGCCGTACATTGAACTTACATTCACATTCAAGTTTCACACCTAAGGGGGCAATATTTAGGGTTTCAGTTTGGACCATCCCAGGACCATAATCATCTGTTATGCGCCATTTTGTATTCAGGGGGTGTACACTTTCATTTGAAATTAGTTTCAACTGGTATCTCGAATGTATGAATATAACCATTTTTTTAAGCCCGGTGGTCGATATTTAGGATATCACTTTGGGCCGTTCCATGGCCACAATGGTCTGATATGGACAATTTCGTACACAATGAGATGTACCTCGAATGTATGAGTATAACCCATTTTCGTGCTGAGCGACTTTGTACAGGTCTTCCACATATAGGCTTAGAACTTTCCAGCCAGCCCTCGTATATTAGAAGTGTGTAACATGTTTTTAACTTTATTGAATTTCAACCGCTTTACGCCAGCTGATGCGAAATTTGTAAACATACTATTAAATGATTAAAAAAAAAAATACTTTGACGTGACAATTTATTGAATTAATTAAATTATATCTGAAAAGACCCAGTCAGGCTTGAAATAAAACCTTAAGCAATATTAAAATATTATATCTATCCGATATTGGAACGAACGCAACGTTAACTACAGTAACGGGTGCGTTTACAATTATTCGGTGTGAGGGGAGGGAGGGGGGTTGGGGGAGGGGAGCAAACGTGCGTGTTAGATCAGAGGGTCTGTTATTGAGTCTCTCGATCTCTCTCTCTCTCTCTTTTAAAATACTGATTGTCATTTGCATGTTTTGACAATATCTAATTTATCCAAGCGATATCTGCGCTAAAATATTCTCATATTGATTATTTAACATTTAGTTAATTAAACCCAAATTCTATTGAACACGTTACAAGACGCATATTTGTGAGTCCGAATAAATAAACCCAGGGCTGTGATATAACCATAGATAAACTCGGGGATGTGATATAAGCATTTATAAACCTGTAACGGTAAATCTCTTTGATCTTTGGGGTATATGCTATGCCCGGAATAACTTGTGGTCTGAAAGGCGGGGCGGCTTTGGATATATACAGGGAAATTTGGGGTTACGGGAATTCTGGGATATTCTCATCTAGCGTGCATGAAAAGATAGACGGTTTATAAGCAAGATAAAGTCCTCGACTTCGGTTATGCTGGGGAAGAAAGACTTCAGAAAAAACCCTCGACAGAAAAACCTCGGCCTACCGGCCTCAGTTTTTCTTTTTCTCGGGTTATTTTCTTCAGTCTTTCTTTCCCCAACATAACCTCGGTCTCGTGCTTTATCCTACACAGATAAACCCAGGGTTTGATATAACAATAGATAAACCCAGGAGTGTGATATAACCATAAACCCAGGGATGTGATATAACCATAGATAAACCCTGGGATGTGATATAACCATAGATAAACCCAGGGGTGTGATATAACTATAGATAAACCCAGGGGTGTGATATAACTATAGATAAACCCAGGGGTGTGATATAGCCATAGATAAACCCAGGAGTGGGATATAACCATAGATAAACCCTGGGATGTGATATAACCATAGATAAACCCAGGAGTGTGATATGACCATAAACCCAGGGATGTGATATAACCATAGATAAACCCAGGGATATGATATAACCATAGATAAACCCAGGGGTGGGATATAACCATAGATAAACCCTAGAACGAATACTTAAACGCAAATATGCGTCATCTCTAATAGATGTATATAGACATGAGGATTAAGACATTTAAATAATAAACCAGGTAACCCAATTCAATTTAGTCACGCGGTTGATTTTTATTTTAATTATATCAATTAAAATTTGTAATTTACTTCCAAACCTATGAATAAATCAATCATTTCACTCATTATTAAAATGTAATTTTATTTAAACTCTATTGGTTTTAAATTTTAATTTACATCCAAACCTATGAATAAATCAATACATTCGCCCATTATTTAAATATAATTTTATTTGGTACTATTCAGACTGACTCAGTGATTGTTTGATATCAGTATATTCTATTGTTCATCAAAGGGTGTATACATCCGAAAAAAATCAGATATGACATTATATGTTTTTTAATAAGAGAATGTAATACAATTATTACTGTTGGGAGTCACGGTGACTCGATGAGTAAAAGGCCGACTTGCTAACCTGAAGGCCTCGGGCTCGTGTAACACTATCTTAGTTATACCAGAGATGAGTTTAGTAAATATAGGATTTATTTACAACAGGTATATAAAACAGCTACAGTTACATACATACAACAACAATATAAGGAACTAAACTACATCGGGAACTAGACGCTACATTACTATATTAAATCCAGCATTCCGTCCCTCTGCCAAGGCAGCGGCTGAACTCGGGAGAGTCCATACGTCGGTCTGTGCGTCTCTCCTCTCCCTAGACGTCTGTCTAACTGTCAGCAAACTCCTCGTTATATACCTTCTCGGGCAATAGATAAGACACATTGTCATACAAGCAATTGTCTGATTTTATCTCGTCATGGCATGCTTACTGACCTGTGCGTATTCCTTTGCAGAAATGCGGAGCGTGTGCACAGATCATATGTAGTTTGTAAATGACATATGGGATTAATTACATGTTTTATTAGATCATAGCCAGTTCATGCCTTAACAGAAGTTTATACAGAGTTGAAAAGTCAATATCATATATATTATCAAAAAAAAACCAGCTGATGTCATACAGTTCTAAGCACCTAAATGACCGTTCAATTTGATGAAAGTTATAGAGTACTTTGTCACACTCGCCCCCGGTGATGGCCGAGAAAGTAATGGGCGTATATTGGCGAAACATCCCGACCGATTTCAGTGAGAACAAAAGAGCATCACACGGAAGTTACAAAACAAGAACATTACAACACATCTACCAAAACCCAAAGCATAAAATCAAATGGGATAATACAGAAATACTAGCCAGAAATTTATCAACATGGAAAAATAGAATTGTACGAGAAGCGCTAGAAATTCAAAAACATAAGCCAAAATTAAACAGGGACTCGGGACATTTTCTCCTAAATCTTTGGGTGGATTAATTTAATCCCTAATTAATATGTGGTTTTTTTATCAGTGTATGGTTTCCTTCCCTAACTTTTCGATTTCTTTTCTATGCGGTTAACCCCCTTTTCATCTTGTAGTTAGTGGTTTCATCTGCTAATTAGCGTTTAATTGTTATCTATATAATCTGCTAAATTCAACTCGTTTCTAATTGTTTTCAATACATTACAGTCTTTCATCTTGTTAATCCTTTGTAATTGTTTATCCATATTATTACTTCTCTCATGTTCTTAATTAATGATTAATCTGTTATATGGTTTCCAATTGTTATCTTTATATTGCACCACATTTTTGTTAAATATCATGATTTGCTTGATAACGATATCTGTATGTGTATCGAAACGTAGCATGTTAATAAATTCAGAAGTAGTATATCCCTATAAGTGTTTTAATTAATTAATAAATTGAAATACTGCAAACGAAAATTCAGTTTGAAATAAATTACAATATACAAATAATTAGGATATATTTTGTGTGAAACCACAGCCCAATAGCCTCTTACATATCCTGCACATAGGAGTCCATCTACTTCATTCCTCGAGAATAGATCTCTGCCCTAAATGGCCGCCATGTCAAAAAATTAGTATACTGTTTAGTAATGCGTTTCTACTCCGTTTCACATCTGTTATACACACAAAGACTAAATAAACTTGTTCAATTACATTAAATGGTAGCATAATAAATACTTAACAAATTTCTTGAAGTATACTTCGTGTTTTCGACTAAAATCGTCGATTTAGGACTCATAATGTCGGTCAACTAGCTTAGTGTCTGTTCTCAAGCAGAGCTAACTGTAGACAGACAGCATAAGTTTAGTATGAAATGAAATGAAATGGAGTTTAACGTCCTACTGTTCTGTTCCAACTGGGATATAATGAAGACGGGCATGCGCCATACAGTGTGCTATGAGGGAAATGTTGCCCTGGCAGTGGCACTATGGCCTACTCTTATATCGATTTCCAACTGCCAAGGGATCTTTTACGTGCATGCCAATGTATACATGGGACCTCGGTTTTTCTTCCCATCCGAACGACTAGACAGCTGTCCTTGTCAGGCCCTCCGTCCTGCACCACTGACAAAGGGGAAACCACGTCGGAACATCCCGATGAACTTTCTCGGCCAATGCAGGAATTGAACACCCGACCTCCAGACTAGCGAGCCAGCGTCTTACCCACTTAGCAACTGTGGCTCCAAAAAGTTTAATATGTCCCCTTACCTTCACTCTGTATACCCATAATACAAATTGATAGAAGAACGAGGGTAATAGCTGCCTGGGTCATCCTCGCTCTATAACAAATATCACCTTTCTCTTTAATTAAACTATGTAACTTCTAACTACTGAAAATATCTGACAGATCTATATATACTATATATACATCATGTGACATCAAACGAATTATACAAGCAACACCCATGGGCGGATCCAGGAATTTTTGCATGGGGGGGGGGTGCCAGGTTCCTGAGACAACCCCCCCCCCCCCCTCCCGCATTGCGTCTATCGTCATTTTGGCGTATATACATACACATTAAGCTTTTTAAACAGAGAAATTCAACACCTCGTCAATTTTATTATGAATTATACAATGACATTGTGATTCAATTTCATGAATGCAAAGCATTAATTGTGATATCACATAATGTCTATATCATTATCTCGTGCTTTAAGTGGCCATCCTGTCCCACATCTGACGATAAAGGATAAAGCACACAGCCGAGAAATTTTTCTCATAAAAAGTGTTGATTTACAAAAAAAATTATGTAGCTGAGCAGGTGGGGGGGGGGGGGGTTCGACCCCACAACCCCCCCCCCCTCTGGATCCGCCCCTGACACCACAATCGATAGTACTACATACACTGTAAAAAACAACAGAATTAAAATGAAATGGGGTTTAACGTCCTACTGTTCCGCTTCGAACTGGGTTAACGAAGACGGGCATACGCCATACAGTGTGCTATGAGGGAAATTTTGTCCGCACAGTGGCACTACGCCTACTCTTATTTCGTATTCCAACTGCCAAGGTTTCTTTTTAAGTGCACGACAAGGTGTAGATAAGATCTCAGTATTTTGTCCCACTAACGCCACTAACAAGGGAAAACTATGTTGGAGAAACCCGATGAACTTTCTCGGCCAGCACCGGGATCGAACATGGGACATACCGGTTAGAGAAGATAATTATCACCTTCGTGGCCGAATGGTTAACGCGCATGCGTTGGATGAGATGGTCAGTTATTGAATCAAGTGACGTGGTATCGATTCCTCGCTTGTGCGTGACAAGGAGTATGGTCGCCTGTCCAACCTCCTGAGTTTTCTCCGGGTCCTCTGGTTTCCTCCCACTGCTAACGACCTCGGCCCCTACGCTCAAGCGAATTAATTAAATAAAATTGAACCACATGTTAGTAAATGATCCTTTGGCAGTTGGAATTCGATATAAGAGTATGCCGTAGTGCTGATATTCGGGCAAAATATCCTAATAGCACTCTACATGGCGTATGCCCGTCTTCATTAGCCCAGTCGGAGCAGAACAGTAGGACGTTAAACCCCATTTCATTTCATTTCAAGTAATGTGTTTATGGTTTAATAAATCCATATTACCCACTATAAAACTACATTTACAATGAAACACAATCGGTTTATAAAAATGATATATATGACCTATTTAATAAATCTGTCGTATGTTTGACTATTGATTTCCCACCCAAACTATTCTAGAAACAAATAAAGCACGGGATGGGCTGTTTAATTTTAATTAAAAGTTTAATATTCGCAGTTTGATTGACGTGGCAGCCATGACTGACAAGCTGATCTTATTTTACAACTAGCGGATGACCGGCACTGCACAGGTTGTGCCGATAACTCCGAAGCCGAAAGCGGTAGTCCAACGCCACCTGGCCTATGTTACTTATCCATGCCCGGATTACCCAATGACGTCATTGGGGCTACCCATATACACCAAATTTTGGCCTCGGGACTTCCCTGATGTTACCTCAACCCTGATCAGACAGACAAACGGACAAAGAATAGTCATAGATATTGGTATAGATTGTTTTAATCAACATATTCATCGTTTGAATCTGTTACAGCAATAAACACTCGCACGGGTCTAATAACCAAGATCTCGTATAAAAGGTGACGTGCACGTAAAAGAAACATTGGCTGTTGGTATTCGATGAAAAGTAGTTGAAAACTCCACTGTCGTGGCAAACTGTCCTTGGATGGGGAATGACTGTCTTAATGTTCTCGGTTGGTACATGGGGGGAGGGGGGCGAATGGTTAGCGCGTGCGCATTGTATCATAAGCTCTGTCATTGAGTCAACTGGTGGGGTTTCGATTCCCCAGTTGTACTTGACAAGGAGTAGGGTCGCCTGTCCAACCTCGTGGGTTTTCTAAGGGCCCTCCGGTTTCCTCCCACTGCTAAAGACCTCTAGGCGCAAGCGAATTATTGATCTAAAATTGAATCATATGTTAGACCCGAAATGACCTAGTTTGTGTCGAGTGGGCGCTATAACCTTCTATTACTCACCAGGTGAGTCATTATTCTTCATCAATTGATAATTTCACAGAATAATAATAATAATAAAATACATCATTGTTTAAATGTTATTGAATTTACTGATATAAAAGGGACAATAACACTCGTGCTGGCTTGACAGCTCCAGTAAATAAATATTAGCCTTATTCTAAGTATTAGATGATTAAATGTCCTACCTGTTGTATACATTATCCATTAAATCCTATTTTACTTGTCCAGAGGGTTCAAAAATATTTTTAAATCCAAGTCACATTTGGAAAGGTTTTCGTTAGGCTTTTCAAATCATTTAGTTGAATTTTTCCAATTTTTCAAATTAGGTGTGTTAAGATGAAATTTGTATCATCAATTAATTGGAATACTTTAAAATAGTACAATTTGTTGACCAGAATAAAGATTGGGGCATATTATTCTGTTACAACAAGAGTGGTATTGAGCCTTTAATATCAGTATTGTTTTAATTCTCCCAGAACAAATAAAAAAAAATACATCACTGTTTAAATGTTATTAAATTTACTGTCAGTAATATAATATCAGTATATTTGTTTTTTAATTCTCCCAGAACAAATATATCGCTTGTCATTATCTCACACAATCTGTTTCACTGGGGTATATTGTGAAAAACTTCTTAGAACTCTGTACTTTTGTAAGTTGTTAGCATGGTATACGTCCGCTTCCACCACTGTGGCAGGCACGTGTTGCCAAGAAACTTGTCAGACAAAGTATATGGCACTTGGGATCGGAGACGTGAGACTGATTAGTAGGTCTATTCCAACTCGTTTCCTTAAAGGCTGAATACCACTCTTGTTGTAACTGAATAATATCTCCCAATATATATTCTGGTCAACAAATTGTACTATTTTTCAATATTCCAATTAATTGATGATACAAATTTCATCTTATCACACCTAATTTAAAAAATTGGAAAAATTCAACTAAATGATTTGAAAAGCCTAACGTAAACCTTTTCAAATGTGACTTGAGTTTAAAAATATTTTCGAACCCTCTGGACAAGTAAAATAGGATGTAATGGATAATTTACACAACAGGTAGGACACTTAAACATCTAATACTTAGAATAAGGCTAATATTTATTTACTGGAGCTGTCAAGTCAGCAAGAGTGTTATTGTCCCTTTAAATAAAGCCACAATGGCGTTTGGTAAAGACCAATCTGATCAAAATACAAATCTATATATCGTTTCGGTTTTTTTATACTTTCGATGGCCTACACTAGGCTACATGAAGATCTGACCAGTAAGATTCGTCAGAATTCATACGTCCACTCGACACAAACTAGGTTATTTCGGGATTGCGATATGATTCAATTTTATTTCAATAATTCGCTTGCGCGTAGGGATCTTAGCAGTGGGAGGAAACCGGAGAACCCGGAGAAATCCCACGAGGTTGGACAGGCAATCCTACTCCTTGTCACGCACAACTGGGGAATCGAAACCATGCCAGTTGACTCAAAGACAGACCTGATGATTGAACTTGGAGAAGAAAAAAAAAGCTAATATTACGAGCTAATAAACCCGTACCGATATCCTCTCTTTCTCCGTAGCGTAGCGGCGCCATCCATTGCTGACAGCTAGTTGTATTGGGATGCCGTCTATTGGCCTATAATTAATGATATAAAAATATCGGCCATAATCAGATTTATTTCTCTGGACGTGTTATGGTTGGTTTATCGAACCGTAAAAGGACCCGTAAAAGAAGACTACACAGGGTATTCCCCACAGTCATATCTTAAAATAGTAACAGGTTTTATCTTGATCATCCAGTCTTACAAATCTGTTGTCAAATCATATCAGCAATGTGAAGGCCACTGATTGACGTCACAGCACGTGTTGAAACATATCGACTCCGCGAAGCATAATGTTTACTATATATAACAAGCAATGCAACTTTGTCTTCATTCAAACGATTTTTCTTGGCAAGAAACGGGTGTATGAATCAAGGAGCTGATGATAGAAATAAAAGTATTAATTTTAGAGAAATTAAGATCTTCCACTTAAGGCTGGAAATTAAATAAACTGTAGTCTATTTATTTATTGTGTGATCGTGCCCATTCGAAAAAAAAAGTAGAATCATTTATTACAATGGCATTGCCACCAAATGGACCCATCGAAGTCGTCTTCTCTCTGGATACCACTGGATCCATGTCATCGATCCTCGATGAAGTTCGACATCGCCTTCAAGATATGATCACACGTCTTCAAGCAGATATTCCTGGCATTAGATTCGCTGTTGTTGCCCATGGTGATTATTGTGACGCCGAACATTTTTACGTGACGAAGCACGTTGATTTTACTGACGATTTACCCACATTATGTAACTTTATGAATGACGTCGGTGGAACTGGCGGAGGTGACGTCAGTGAGTGTTATGAACTTGTTCTGAGATTGGTGAGGGACAAATTATCATGGACGCCTTACTCTCAGCAGATTTTAATTATGGTTGGGGACGCCTATCCACACGAAGCTGATTATCCATTAAACGTTGATAAAATCGACTGGCGAGAAGAATTACACTTTTATACTCATGCTGTAAGTATGAATTAGTATGATCAAAAAAAAAAATAAAATTCTGAATATCCTAATTAGCCTAATATTAAACCCACTTCTCTGTAATTAAATGAAATGAAATGGGGTTTAACGTCCTACTGTTCTGCTCCGAACTGGGCTAATGAAGACGGGCATACGCCATACAGTGTGCTATGAGGGAAATTTCGCCCGGGCAGCGGCACTATCGCCTACTCTTATATCGAATTCCAACTGCCAAGGGATCTTTTACGGTTTTTCGTCTCATCTGAAGGACTAGACAGCTGTCCTTGTCAGGACCTCCGTCCTGCATCACTGACAAGGGGGAACCACGCCGGAAAATCTGGATGAACTTTCTCGGCCATGCAGGGATCGAACACCCGACCTTCAGTCTCTGTAATTAATGTAAGCTGTCTTTGATCGTTTCGTCATGTCATGTCATTGTTTCTATTATTCAGGGAGTACATATTTACGGCGTCCATGTTTTTGAAGATGAACAGTCGGCTAGTTTTATGAAAACCATATCCGAACAAACCAGTGGAGAATACATCAAGATGGCGGACTTTAATCACGTCTGTGATGTCATCATGGCTATTTGTTATCGAGAAAGAGGGGCGGACTTTTTAGAGGTAAGACAACGGTTGATCTTAACTTTGTTAAAATCTAGACTACATAAAATTCATTCTGCACACAGAGGACTATCTACTTTGAGTGTAGATCTCTGTCTTGAATGGCCGCCATATTCAAAAATTAGTATAGGTCTACTATTTTGTGACGTGTTTCTAACATGTTTTACATTGTTCGATTTTATTAGATGGAAGCAGAATAAACACTTCTCAAAATTCTCGAAGTATACATAGTGTTTTACATCAAAATATTAAGGCCACCTGCAGATTTCGTCAAGGTCATAAGACGTAAACAGGGCAAGCGCTAACCCTAACCCCAGACCTAACCCTTAATCCTTATTACCCTTTTTGTAGTCTGGACAAAGCATTATTCTAGTATTTTGTTATTTGTAGGGATATGAAGCTGAAGTGAGATCCAGATTCGGAAAGAAACCAATGGACGATGGTTTAGAAGATGTTTTTGGAGCTTTAAAAAGAGCCGATTCAAAAGCTAGTAATACAACACTGCCACCACCCTTGTCCCCGCTTAGCAGTATGACGTCATCCGAACCGTCTACGTCAGAGACAAACATCAGAAAGATTTCATCCATACCACACGATCCACTGAACAGGCTCCCCAAGTTAAAAACAGTAAGTTTATTTTTGTGATATTTGTGGTTCTCGATACAGTTAGATGTTAACACCAGATAATATCGACCTATTATTTAATTTTAAACTAATGCAAAATGAAGTTTGTCCGGAGAAATTTATAATTAAAGATTATTCCGTAAAGTTATATTGGACCCATCAAGAAGTTGAGTAGTCGTTTTTTTCTCTGTAAAAGGAAACTTTTTTGTTTTGTATTCTTCAAAGGAAAAGACGTTCAGAAAAAGTAGGCTAAGGCCCCAAAACAAATTATGTTTGCAGAGAAGTGGGCTTACAGGTTTCCCATTCTCATGGACTTTGCTTTGGTGAAATTGTTTGGATTTTGGTTTGATTTTTAAAATTTGTTTCAGAAAGTAAAAGCTCGTAAAGTTGCCACAACAAACATTCGAGGAGACGAAACTACGTCGATGCCGTTTATCAAACCCAAAATCACAAAGCACATAAGATACCCAAAGAAAATGGTTAGTTTTCTATTTCAATAATTGATTTGATATGCCTTTAACTAAGAATTTTCGCTATGACCCCATATCTATGAACGCGTATTACTTAAAAATTTGATATATTACTTTAACTAACGAGTTCCCGCTATAAACCCATTTGATATATTACTTTAACTAGGGGAGTTCGTGCTTTGAACCCATATTACTTAAAAATCTGAGTTCCTGCTATGAAACCATGTGGGTCACTGGGAAGAAAATAACCTTGTGGTACCATCTTCCTTCAGTGCCACGCTTATTTTGCATAACGCCTACTCCCGGTCTCGATAAGAAGTTTTGTATCTCATAGTTTGTATTTTGTATATTTTGTATATTATAGAAACCATCAGCAGCTAAATGCAAGAAGCCGGAATACAATCAACCTCAACGAAAATTACTCCGAGAAAGAGTTACCGTGAACAATTTCCTATACAACAATCTACATTGGTCAACTTGGAAATTGGCAATACAACCACGCCCTGTTACCAAGCAACCATCTCCCGGATGGAAAACCGTCAACAACCAACTCAGACGTACAGTGTTATTCCGAGGGAGCAGACGAACGCGACCAACCTTTTACGAAGTCGCGGTTCAAACGAAACCGGGTCACAAACGTCACGTTGTGTATTTTAGCGTGAAAAATTTTTCCGAGGTTCCTGAGAATTGGTTTAATGTTTTATTTGACGATGACGTGTCACACCAGGTGAAATCTGTGGTTTCCAGTGGTTGTCGTGTTTTTGTTCGTAGAGCTCACCTTGTAATTCGTAAACCCAATACCCCCACTCGTTTTCTCAATGACGTCAGGCGGGTGTACGACTATCCTTGGGGCGGATCTAGAGACGTATACATCCAAAACGATGACGTTTATATCTCAAAACAATGACGTTAACACATATTTAGCAATGCAGTGGTTTAAACAACAGGGCTGATAAAGTATTTGCTAGCTATAGGCCTATCAACTTCTCAAGATTCCTAGCAAAGTCAATTAACCAGTTACCCGTCCACGAGATAGATCTGTGATATGTGAATCAGATAATTTGGTATACAGGAGCAGGGCAAGGTGTAACATGACACTGTATAGAAAAAACTGGGAAGGACAAGTCTCCAATATGATCTATCCTTTGTTTTATTAACAATAAGAAAAGGGATGTTTTAAAAACTGGATGAAGTCGGTATATTGAAACTGAAGAAATATGAATGGAGCCAGGTGCAATAAATAACGAACGACAGACGTTACTTTATGTTGTGACGTGTGATAGAGAATGTCACGTGTCATTGTACATATAAACATTTATTATGAAGCAGATATTACCATGTAAATATTAGTTATACCTACACATGTAAATATTGGTTATACCTACACCTGTAAATATTGTTTACACCTGTATCATGTAAATATTGGTTATACGTGTAACATGTAAATATTGGTTATACCTACACCTGTTAATATTGTTCACACCTGTATCATGTAAATATTGGTTATGCGTGTATCATGTAAATATTGGTTATACCTACACCTGTAAATATTGGTTATACCTACACCTGTAAATATTGGTTATACCCACTACTGTAAATATTGGTTATACCTACACCTGTAAATATATTGGTTATATATCGTTAAATAAAGTTTTCAGATATAGACGGCTTCAATAATTTGTTCACATTTAAAAAAAAAAAGACACATTAATCTGCATTTTTTAAAAAGAAGGGGCTAGAAATGTTCGAGAAAAACACAGATCCACTTCCCGCACCCTTACGACAGCTTTACAAATGAAAATATAATTGTGATCTTTTAACCTCGTACCCAACCACTTTTTGACAAACCCACCGGAACTCCTTCGAGCGTTGAGTCTAGGACTATAAAACTTTTAAGTGGAGGTCATCGGAAAGAAGACCTGGGGACTGTTTCAGAAATTTTAATTAAGATAAAATCCAAATTTTAGTAATTTGATTGGATAATATTAGTTTGATTTTAGTGCTTAGCCAGTCAAAATTGAAGTAATCTACTAAAATTTGGATTGTATATTTAGTTATGATTTCGAGAAACAGGGCCGGGGTTTTGAAAATTTACTATCCAAATATTCTGAAGATTGATAGGGTTCTTCCTTTTGCCCAAATGAACAATCCAACCGATATCCGACCGAAGGCAACCCAGGGGCGTGGTGACCCACGATTTTGTATGATGAACAAGATCCCTTCCGGGGCCCCCAAAAAACAATATTTATATGCGTGTGCTCTGGGTAATATTGGACTACCCAGTATGCTAGAGTCGATCTGTAGCATATCTGACCCACGGTATATGTTTGACACTGGTTAAACATACATTATGCAAGAGCTAAATCTGTCTATTGCAGGTCTTTCTTTAGGCCTGAAATGTTATCTGAATTATTAATTACATGTAGACATTAATTAACCTATCCAGACCATAATCAACTCTAGATAGCATCGCTAGTCTGCGATCTTTAGTGGATTGTGAGCCGATTTACTGCATAACGTTCTTTCACGATTTAACGATTAAGTGGATAATCGAGACTATGCTGTTTATCGTACCGACTTTACTAATGATGATCGAGGCTAGGCGGAAATTTCAATCGCTTAGTTCTCGGTTCATAGTGGATCAATTTGAATGAAATTTTCAGCAAATTGCCTTTACATTATCTAGTTTTTAACTATTATAGTGAGAACTGTTAAACCGCATTCAAACCGCGTGATTTTTTGCCATTTGCGAGGGGGGCACAAAAACTCAAAACCATGACGCAAAGCTCGCCACCGAGTCCTTCTCACTTAGCCCAAGCTTATATAACACTTAACTCAAAATCCACACGACGTCATGTTCAGGACCGTCTCCGATCTAGCGATTTCCCTTAACTACTGCGTGCAGGCCATCGAAAGTATAAAAAAAAACGAAACGAAATATCAATCATACAGATTGTCAGTATAATGGACGAAATGAAATTGGGTTTAACGTGCTACTTTAATTTACCAACCATTTAATGAAGACGGGCATGCGCTATGCACATCCCATCAGTGTGCAGTGAGGGACATTTTTGCCTTAGTCTGGGACCCACTTCGCGGACTCGCTGTCCCTCCATTTCACGTTTTCTCTTAGGAAAGGGCGCATTCTTTCCGTTTTATTTTTAGACGTTTTCTTTTCTTTCTCTAATGAATTGATAAATCTGTCCTGTATCAAGAGGCGTAGCCGTGAAATATATATTGGGGGGGGGGGTCCGCAACCCTAACCCCTAACCCTAACCCATTTTTTAAACCCCCTAAAAAATATAAACAAACACCATGTGGCCATGCTGTCGACCAAGACACCGCGTGCAAAAGCATTATGGTTACGTTGCTGGCTGAGCGGGCGATAAATATTTGGTTTGGGCGGTTATGTTTTTGGGTACCTACATGCAATTCTCTCTGATAAGTGGCAGAAAAAAATTAACAAAATATTACTGACAGGCTAACTAGACACAATTTTATGGAACACAGGTACTTTTCACTTCACACATGTTTCCAGGATGATTATCTCTGTGTTTTATTTTAGCAGTATCAACCATATTGGGATATGTACAGGTTTTATACAGATAGAATCTTAACTAATCCTAATAATTGTTGTAAATAAATAGGAGTTTGGGATTTGCAAAGGCGAGAACGCGAGGAAGCAAGAAGTAAGAAGTCGAGGGCGAAAAGTCGAGAGACGAGGGAGCGAGAAGTCGAGGTAAAAATAATCTCATGTTCTCGGGCTGAGATCCTTGCATTTTCACCATGTTTCCTCGCGTTCTCGCACTTTCGTCTTTGACTTCTCGTTCCCTCGTGTTCTCGCCCTCGACTTCTCGCAGTCGAGATTATGAAATAGCCGCAATAGGCTTCCATACCTTATATAGGTCACTTCGCCCCACTGTATATTATAATATACAACTGGCGGTAGTTTTTACTTTGATGTCCATAGCAGTTATATCTCATAACAACCTGTCATGGCATCATCATAGGTTGATATATTCGTTCATATCAACCGCTGATGACGTCATGACAGGTTGATATGAAATATCAACCGCTAATGACGTCATCTTAGGTCAATATATTCGGCTCATATCAACCGCTGATGACGTAGATGATCGAAATAATACAAAAAAAAAAACGAAATAAAATTTTATTCTTTTGACAATTAAAATTTGTTATGGTACAGTTTCTAACATTCAGGACCGAAATAGACGGCGTACTTATCGACATACATGTATTTAGATCGGTTATGTCTAAGATATCTTTCAGAATTTTCTTTTCGTCCACATTGCGATTATTTCTCCACACACTACAAAACTTGAAAGTATTTATCGCCCAAGAGTTCCTTTGTAAATTATTTTTGGGTACAGTCCACTTAAAACAGTCGGTCAAATTCTTCTCTGAACATACCGAAAACCTTCAATCATGGTTCACTGTCAGAATTCTTGGAAAAGAATGCCTTTTGGTCCAAATTTTCTGCAGGCTTTGGATAGATATTCGTCGATATTTGCATTCACATATATTCCATCGTCAATATGTTGGCTAAAAAGGATTGATTATTCGTCTGACTTCGTATTACTATCCATTTTGTTTTTGCTTTCAATTCAATAGTCCAAAATGGAGACGTATAAACAAAAACATGCACGTAATTGCACGTGATTACTTCGGTAATTTTCGCTATTTGGCGGAAACTATCGAGCAATTATCCAATCGTTGTTGCCTTTTAATGGAAGAGCCCATTAATTTTAAGGGTAAAATGTCGTTGTATATGTCGGATATAAACCTACCCTCTCTCGGATTGATATGGTAGAGAAAGCTTGGGCTTCGCCCGCGCATTCTCTACCATATCAACCTCGGGTAGTTTCATATCCTATACATACACTCTATCAGGTAGATTGTTGTTGTTAGTTAGTTGTATTTTACGTCCGCTTCCGCTTCAGGTAGATGTTGTTGTTAGTGTTTAACGTCCGCTTCCACTGAAGGTGATATCGCAGACAAGTTGGTTTTTTTTTTTTATTTTCATGATCTTAGCGCACGCGCAGGGGTCTTTCGTGTGGGAGGAAACCGGAGTACCCGGAGTAAACCCACGAGGTTGAGAAGGCGCCCCTATCTCCATGCCACATACGCTCACACCAGTTATCGAAACCACAGCCGTAACCCGAGGTGACCGGCCAGCTAGAGGTCGAAGCGTGACACTCTAGACCACTAGGCCATCCCAACCCCCCTCAGGTAGAGACGACTAGCGTTTTATATAGGCCACGTCTCATAAAGACCACGTAAGATCAAAAATCTAAATTGCATGTATGTATAGCCCATGGTTACTATATCAACTTTACGGCAAGTTCACACCAATCTGATTAAAATTAAGTCCGCTGTTAACGTTTAAGTATCCGACACGCCAAAACGCTTTTCGATTTTTCAATTACGACCTTAATCCGACCTTAATCCGGTTGATTGGCTGGTGACGTCACAGGCACTACACATGAATATATACATTATCTATACAATATCTCACTGTCTGTACAATATAGCACTATCAATACACACGGCAACTGGACAAGCGTCTATTGACGGTCTAATTACCACGTGACTGGCCTAATCATAATCACCGAATTATCGTCTTTCATTGGTATAGTTTAGACATTTGTGATTGGAATATTTTAGAGTAAATTTAAAATGCCGTATCATACCGTAGATCAATTTAAGCTGCCATTGTTTAAATCGGCCACGTGTCAAATGAATATTATCTATACAATATCTCACTGTCTGTACAATATAGCACTATCAATACACACGGCAACTGGACAAGCGTCTATTGACGGTCTAATTACCACGTGACTGGCCTAATCATAATCACCGAATTATCGTCTTTCATTGGTATAGTTTAGACATTTGTGATTGGAATATTTTAGAGTAAATTTAAAATGCCGTATCATACCGTAGATCAATTTAAGCTGCCATTGTTTAAATCGGCCACGTGTCAAATGAAGATGACTCAAGAAATTAGCGCATTTACCGGTAATTTGGATAAACCCGTAATACTTGATATCCCAAACTTAAGTACAGAAATACAAATGGTGCCAGTCATTTGTCGGTATATTCATTATTAGTTATATATAATAATAATAACCATTTCTATACATAAAGAACAACTACAGTGAATATGGAATTTTCCGATGACTCTGCATAACATGCACAATAGATCGCACTCATTTCTCTGCCAATCAACGCTTGGTATCTTATTATCATGTACCGTTCCATGTACTACGGGTGTAGTAAATGAGGTTAAACGTCGCCGCGAAAATTGCACGGGATCATTCGTGGAGTTCCTGGTGCCGTTTGGTGAGTGATTAAACTGTCAATGCAATTGTAAAATACGTTTATTATAAAGAAGATAACCGATGTTAGACATTATAACCTAATCGTATCAAAAACGTTAATCCATCCATCCATCAATTAAATGTCGTTTAAACGTCAATGAACAAATAATACGAGTCTACTTGATTACAAAAAC